AAATAGTGTTTGGTTTTTTTGGTTACCTTTTTCCTGAATGTGTAGTAAAAATTATTCTGTTTCAATGGAAAATAACCTCATTTAAAATTCAAAAGTTAAGTCAAGTTCTGAAACTTAGATACTTGCCGTAATAAAGTCGCTTCACACACATGACTAAAATAACATATGCAACTTTTCTGACTTTATAGTGTAAATAAATCATAGAATCATAGAATGGTTTGGAAGGGACTCTAAAGATTATCCAGTTCCAACCCCCGTACCATAGACAGGGGCATCTTCCACCAGAACAGGTTGCTGAAAGCCCTATCCAGCCTGGCCTTGAACACTTCCAGGGGTGGGGCATCCACAGCTTCTCTGGGAAACATGTTCCTGTGCCTCGCCACCCTCACAATGAAGAATTTTTTCCTAATATCCAACCTGAGCCTTCCTTCTTCCAGTTTAAAGCCATTGCCTCTTGTCCTGTCACTACATGCCCTTGTAAAAAGTCCCTCCCCAGCTTTCTTGTAGGCCCCTTTTAGGTACTGGAAGGCTTCTCTAAGGTCTTCCGGGAGCCTTCTCTTCTCCAGGCTGAACCACCCCAACTCTCTCAGCCTGTCCTCGTAGATTAGGTGCTCCAGCTTCCTGTTCATTTTCGTGGCTTCCTTTGGACTCACTCCAACAGGTCCATGTCCTTCTTGTGTTGGGGACCCCAGACCTGAAGGCAGTACTGCAGGGAGGGTCTCACCAGAGCGGAGTAGAGGGGGAGAATCCCTCGACCTGCTGGTTGCCCTTCTTTTGATGCAGCCTAGGATACGGTTGACTTTCTGGGCTTCAGGCACACATTGCTGGCTCATGTTGAGCTTCTTGTCAACCAACACCCCCAAGTCCTTCTCCTCAGGGCTGCTCTCAATCCATTCTCCACCCAGCCTGTACTTGTGCTCAGGATTGCCCTGACCCATGTGCAGGACCTTGGCCTTATTGAACTGCATGAGGTTTGCATGAGCCCACCTCTCAAGCCTGTCCGGGTCCCTCTGGATCGCATCCTTTCCCTCCAGCGTGTCGACCGCACCACACAGCTTGGTGTTGTTGGCAGACTCACTGAGCGTGCACTCAATCCCACTGTCTGTGTCATCAACAAAAATGTTAAACAGTGCCGGTCTCAAAACCGGTATCTGAAGAACGCCACTCGTCACTGGTCTCCACTTGGACATCGAGCTGTTGACCACAACTCTTTGAGTATGACCATCCAGCCAATTCCTTATCCACTGAGTGGTCCATCTGTCAAATCTATGTCTCCAATTTAGGGACAAGGATGTTGTGTGGGACCGTGTCAAATGCTTTGCCCAAGTCCAGGTAGATGAAATCAGTTGCTCTTCCCTTATCCACCAATGCGGTAACCCCATCGTAGAAGGCCATCAAATTTGTCAGGCACAATTTGCCTTTAGCGAAGCCATGTTGGTTGTCACCAATGACCTCCTTATTTTCCATGTGCCTTATCATAGTTTCCAGGAGGATCTGGTCCATGATCTTGCTGGGTACAGGGGTGGGACTGACTGGCCTGTACTTCCCTAGGTCTTCCTTTTTTCCCTTTTCAAAAATGGGGGTTATGTTTCCCCTTTTCCAGTCCACAGGAACTTCACCAGACTGCCACAACTTCTCAAATATGATGGATTGTGGTGCTTGGCCACTTCATCTGCCAGTTCCATCAGGGCTCTTGGATACATCTTATCAGGTCCCATGGACTTGTGCACCTTCAGGTTCCTTAGGTGATCTCAAACCTGATCTTCTACAGTGAGCAGTCCTTCATTCTCCCAGTCCCTGCCATTGACTCCTGCGACTTGGGCAGAAATCCTAGGACTCTTCAAAAACTCTGTGTGTATGTATGTGATATCTATACAAAATGTTGTAAATATAAAAGTGTTTGGCTTGGAGAGAGTTGAAATTGTGTCTTAGAAGGAAAAGGAGCAATATTGTGTTTCTCGTACTCAGGCAAATCATGGGAGAGAGAGATTGATTTACTGTAATGAAAGAATCACTATTTTGGATAAAATAACTATTTGATCACGTTGCTGTTCAAGTGTCTCTTTCAAAATCAACGTGAGGACTTTCACTCGTGATTCTGCTACATTACATGAGTCAGAGTGTAATGATGCTGGCAGATACTGAGGACCTTGATAAAACAATGCTCTGTTATTTAGGTATTCATTACTCCTTAGTTAGGTGACAACGAAAAGTGAAGACACATGGCCTGAGTTTCACCAGTGAGCTCTCTGTCATTCTGTATATCTGAATCTTCAAGTACGTAAAGCTGGGCTTTGTTACTGTGACAGATGGCCTGGTTGGTTGTGATTAAGAATACATTTTCCCCCTTATACTAGTGCATTATAATCTCACCATTTGAAAATTTATGGATTAATGGAAATATTGAAGAACATCAAATGAATGAGATTTTCTCTGGTGGATTTGTAAAGATTCAGAAGCACTCTTACCAAAAATTACTTTGTCAGGGAAACAGTTTGAAATAATAAAATTGAGGCCCTGGTTGTATGTAGTTTTACATTTCTTTGACCCTTTGTGCAAGAGAAGGAAGTTGAAACTAGTGATTCCTTTCCAAGTTGTAAATTCTGCCACCTTTAACCTCTTCAGTGTTACCGTTAGATCAGTAAGACCTCCTACCCATCTCAGACTGACTTGCTGTCACAGATGACAGAAGAGATTCCTGCATGGCTGTTAAATCTATTAAAGCATTTAGGATCTCTTTGAATTTAAAATTATATGTATGGAAAAATTACTCTTCAGCACCCATGCTTTCATGCAGGAAGAAACACTGGTGTACCAAATGAGCTGACCTTGTTCCCTGCACTTTCAAGACCTCATAATGCAGCTCTTATTTTACTGTCGCATGCATTCGAGGTGTTTATTTAGCATTATGGACATCTGTAATGCTCTTACATGTTTTTCTGACACACCTGCCCTTTCATTGATGAAAAAACGATTCCTGTAATCTTTGCAATTACCTGGTTCTTAGAAAAGCACTCGACAATTGCTGGGTTGCGCAGGAGTGCTGGTGCTGTAGCTTCACTACTGCAATTTACTGCGGCTCTGTTACACACAGTGTCTCTTGTTACCACTATGTGCTGCGCTGGCATCAAGTTACGGCAGTTTCTGTTACTTTGCAGAAGAATTATCTGATTTGGTAAAGTAACTATGGTTTAAAGCTTTGGGGAAAAATATTTTAAGGGATACTAGTGTAATTTTAATTATGTAAAGTATTTATTTTGTATATTGAAAACCACATATATGTTAAGAAACTTAAATTTTAAAGGAAACCAGGCCTTTAATGCAGGCTTCTGTTCCCTATTTTTGTATATTAATTCTTGATACAGATGTAGCTTGAAGTTGAATATAGCTCGGCTTTTAAATCATGTTTTGTGTCTGTTTTGTTAACTATTTCTTTACATTTTGATTTATTTCCCCAAATCTCCATCTGATATGCTCTTAGGAACAAAAATTATATCTCATCACGTTCTTTCCTATGCTAATACCAAGAAGACCCTAATTCCAATGGGGGTTTGACATTTACTTATAACAAATTAGCTGCTTACTGTGATGGTGTAAACACTGCTGACTGCACATTGCCCATAGAAGCTTTCATGCTGCTTCCAACCACAACTGCTAGTTTTACCAAAGCACTTCTCTCTAAACTCCTATGACAGATGTGTTACAAAATTAAAAACAGTTGTAAGGACCTCAAATAAAATAGGAAGGAGTAATCTTCAATATATATTGGTTGTGGCAATTGTGAGAAACTGTGCTTTGAAAGACAAAAGGTTGTTGCCAAATGAGTAGTTGAACTTCCCATTCTTTTGAATTTTTTTTGTGGGATTTTGTCGGATGTTTTCCAGATAATTTTTTCACAACTACCTTTAAAACCATATTAATGTGTCCTGAATTATACCTTTTTACATAGATTTCCAAAAATGAAAAGTTAACTTTGGGCCTGATCTTTTTCAGTGGAAATTCAGAATTAGCTCCGGTTTGGTGGGGGATAAAATATAGCTATCATTTTAGACAATTTAAATGTATTAAGACTGGAAGACATTTAGTAAAATTTGATCCTGTAGTCATCTTAGTTGCTTTTTGAAGCCAATGTCATATATCCAGCGTTGCACAGAATTTTGTTGTGAAGTTTTGTTACTTGATGAGAAAAAGCACCAATGTGCCTAAAAAAGTAATTCTTGCATTCTTTCTGGTAGTGTTGTTAGAAAGGGGAAGAATTGTTTTACTAGATATGGGGGCTATAAAAATTCAATGTTCAAGGAACATGTTTTTAAATAAAATAATAATTCTTGTTTTAAATTATTTGCTTTTTCTTTCCTCTATTGCTTTTGCCTTTCGTGATCGAAGTCTAGGAGAGTAAGTCACTGTTTTAATGAACTTTTGGGGATATTTTTTTTTTCTGATGTGCTTATAACAAGTTAATCCATTTCCCTTAATTGTTTCACTAGATCAGGCCAAAAGTTATTTCAGTTGACTTCATTCACTAAAACTCATGAATTACATACATATTTTTAATTGAATAAAAAACCCCAGTTATTATTAGTATTTGGTTTTGTTTGTTTATATTCATGTGTTTCTGTATATATGCATGCTATATTCTGTTGCTTTCTTTTTGAAATTTTGTCTTAGCCTTTTACTCTTTGATTATAAGATTATGCAATATTAAATTTCTGTATTTTAAAAAGTCATTATTTTGAGATGCATATTTGCATCCATACTATACTTCAAACGCCTAATGAGGTAGTTGAATCATGAACGTGCAGTTGGTTCAAGTTCACATTATGTAAAATCAAACTCTCCTATGGATGTAAAACATGCATTAGGAGTTCTCTCTCTTTTTTTTAATCTTTAGTAATTTGTGAAGTTGTGGTAGAGAAGAAAAATAAATTAAATAGGCTTAAGTGTTAGGAGAACTTACTGTGCACTTCAGGCAACATTAATGGTGTTTTTCCCTTTTTTAGGATTCGCAGAGCAGGCAAGGAGGATATAGTATGCATCAGCTTCAGGGGAATAAGGAATATGGCAGTGAGAAGAAAGGTTATCTTTTAAAGAAGAGTGATGGGTATGTTCTTGGAGCACATAATACATAGTGAGAACTATTACTATGTTCATGCCCTGATTCTTTTATTGTTTTCTACTGTGGGTGCTTAAGGCAGATTCTCCTAATGCATATGCCACAAGTACTCAAGAATTTCATAGTTCAAATTTAAACACAGATCTTAATTATCACAAACAATCATAAAAAAGTAATATTAATAAGAAAGCTATTGTGTTTATACATCTCTAAAAGGCGATTAAGACCTTCATAAATCTCCAAGTTACTTTTGGTGAGGCATTTAGTAAAATTTTGACTGCATCTTTTTGTTTTTCAAGGCTAATCTTCTGAAAATGTTAATGGGATTAACATGTTTTGAAATCATGTCTAGTTACTGAATTTGTTGTTGTTGATGTTCTTATGTAGGTTAAGGAAAGTATGGCAAAGAAGAAAGTGCACTGTTAAAAATGGAATTCTTACCATATCACATGCAACGGTAAGATATTTTTATACCTTTTTATTAAAATAATAAGTTAACATTATCCTATCCCGGTGACTGTGTTGGTATTAATCTGCTGTTACAAAATAGATGCCGCTACTGTTTCCGATTGCTGAAGTTCTGTGGATTATCAGAAGTTGGGACTGACTTAGGACAGTATTGTTATACTTGCTCTGTTAAAATTTCCTAGTTTCTGCTGCTGACCACTAGTGGGAACAGTGCTTCAGGTTAAATAGCAGTACACCTGTTCTTACTATACCTTTGAGATATGGGATGTGATTCATATGAATAAAATGAAGTGTCTGCAGTGTAGCTGTCTGCATCAGAGCAAGATCCTGTAGACTCCTCTCAGCCATTGGGACGCTGATCAATGTAGTCAAAGGAGTCTAGGTAGATTTGGTCAGATGTCTTGTTATAAACTTAATTCTGGCTGTTGACTGTACTGGAAGAGCAATAACTAGCTTATACATAGATGTCTGTATTACAAATGTTTGAGTCCTACATAGTATGTTGATTGTTTAAAATATTTTAATGCCTACACATTTATTTTGTAAAACATTTAAAATCATTCCACTAATCAGAGTGAGAAAATAAGAATAAAGGCTAGTTTGAAATTAATTTCAAAACTTCCTGTGGACTTTATGAAGTGAGTGAACTCTTCTTTAGCCTTCTAAAATTTTTCTTCCAGTTTTCTTCCCCACGGCTATAGCTTATGACACTTGATTTAATACTTAAATGTATTTATCAGTAGTTTAATAAGAAAATGGCAGATACATAGAACAGACTTTTCAATGAATACTTCAACTGGTTTTGTTCGTAAGGATTGTCATGGTATTTCTGTGAAGCACATAATTTGGAAACTTGGGAAGTGTTTGATATTAGATGTTATTGATAGTCTGACAGATGAGTGAATGTGTTACTATTTTGAGTGCTTTCAACTAAAAGTGTGAAATTTTGGAAAGTTTTGATCATAATGAGTTCTGGGAATCAAGCATATATCTTATCTGAAGTATCTTCCTAGGAGTGCTAAATCATGAGGAAACAACAACATTATCATGGTGGACGCGGCCCTAAAACTCTCTTGTCAAGTGTGACACAAACTTGTTGCAAACAAGTAACTCCTGTTACTCTTGTTAAAGGAGATGGTCCCATTTCATCACCCTTTTTTCCCCTTCACCTCAAATTCCACTGATGGCCATGAGTATCAATGTCTAAAGTTAACTACCTGCCTTAAGCAAGTTAAAGGGAAATCACTACATTTTGTGCTGGAGTGTTAGGGTTTTTTAATGGCTAGGAAGATATCCTGCCTCCTTTGAGGAGTCATTTAGTCAAATTATTTATACGTAGGTTAGTAATGGTTCAGTTATTACCATTTTTTTAAAAAAAAAATCTCATATTGTCAAGCTCAAGGCTTGCCAATTTGAGAATTCTTTGAATTGCACTATTGATTGTAGTTTTCCTTTTCTTGTATGTAGCTGTGTAAAAGCACTCCATTTGCTCTTTTCTGTTGCAGTGCCAAGAGGAAAGTAATTTTCTTGTTTTCAAAGATGAAAAGTCCAGATCATGACAGTCTATTCAAGACTAAACTTTGAAAACTGAGACTTCAATCGCATATTTACTCCTTCAAGGAACTGTTGCTCCTTAAGTGTCAAAAATATTGTGTTGAACTTGTTCTGGCAAACGTTTGACAATGTGGGAAATGCACTTTGAGATTTTTTTATTTGTTTGCTGGTTTTGCATTACTTAATATATTGAGTTTACAATTTCTAACATGAACAACTTCCAAAACTCGGTTCGGAAGTATTTACTGATAACTGACATCTCATGTTCAGTTTATATCTGCCAGCTGTAGTAACTTTAATTCAGTATCTCTATGGTTTCTGATAAACCTATATAAACCCAAAATACTTCAGACATATTTAGTTATCGTATCTTAAGTAACCTAATTACAGCAGAGAATATTAGTAGCTGTATTTATTCCAAGTTCTGAAACCTCCAGCTCTCCAGCTTCTCACTTCCCTTTTAAAGTTTTATATCTTTAATTTATTTAAAATGGGAGGAAAATTGGAATATGGGCATGCAGTAATGACAAATTGCATTATAGTTTTACAGTTGTTTATGAAATACAATAAAAAACTTCAGTATTAGCATATTCTAAATTAAGGTTTATTCCTGTAATCCTTTTCAAATAATCAAGAAGAGATGCCACAAAGATTTTAAATTTGTTTAGATTCAGCAATCTGTCAATCCTGACAGACTAGGTCAGACAAAGTCATACTGGTCTCAAGTGTTTTGAGGGTGTACATGTATGCATGCCGATGCTTTAAATTAATATCATACATGCCCACTCCCCAGAAAGGAAAAATAATCCTAAATCAAGACATTTTTAAAGTAAAATAAATTTTCTTTTTAGTCCAACAGGCAACCAGCTAAACTGAATTTATTGACCTGCCAGGTGAAGCCAAATGCTGAAGATAAGAAGTCTTTTGATCTAATATCACGTATGTAACAACTATAGTACCATCCTGCATTATGTGGGATTTCTAAAAATTTCTTTACAAGATACTGTGAGTAAAAACAAGGCTACGGTTTAAAATTCAGGTCTGTATCTAGATCCATGCAGTACCTCATGAGTGTTCAGATCCCTCCAGTTTTGAAGATGGGTTGAATGGACAAATGAGTAATGAACCATTTTTGTGTATATGTGTGACAAAATACTGTTCATTTGTGACAAACCATGAGATGCAGCATATGTGCTGTTCTCCTGAGTTCAGAGAGGTGTTGAACAGCTTAGTTGGAGCATGCATCAGCTATATCCACCAGGAAATGGACAAGACCTTCAGCTTCACCTTGTTTTTCTTTCATTATCTGTTCTGCTTTTTGAGTGCAATTTGAGGGGTTGAGGAAGGCAAGGAGAACCCAATTTCTCTTGTTCTCTTAACCTCCTTTTAAAATATGCTTCTGTTTGTCTAAAATTGATATTGACTTGTCTTCTCGGTGTTAAAGCTCCTGTGAATTCCCTTCTCCGCATTTTGGTCTTGTATAGCAGGCATTTGTATCCAGTCTGATTTTAAAAACACTTTTGAAGTTGAGTCATCAACTTACTGTTTTCAGTCTTTACATTTATAGCATGAAACAACAAACAGTGCCAACATTCTGTATTTACAAGGACAGTCTATGAAATCTTTGAATGTGATGGATAATACCCAGTTGCCATCTCTCATCTTTTGGTTAGCATAAAGAAGTTTCTTAACCCAAATGGAGGGAAAAGTATATAATGAGAACAAATTAATTTTGCCCTTTTCTGCTACTTATATTTCAGATTTCACTTTGGAAGGGAAAAACTTGATTCATATGCTTATTTTTCTTTAATATTTCTAAATACTTTTCTAAATTCTAAATTCTAAAGACTTTTTAAATAATTACATTTGGTGTAAATCAAAATTCACAATTTCATCTCTGTTTTTTTTTTAGAATTGTTTTCCATAGCTATGAATAAAGTATTAATGTTGCTGGTTAAGAGCATTTGCTGTTGAAGGCTTTAGTTTCCAAAGAGGTTTTAGTAACAAATGTGTAAGTATTTTAAAATTTATCATGTGCCAAATGAAAAGATGTATGTATTTATTTCAGATAACAGAACATACCACTTTCAAGCAGAAGATGAGCAGGAATACGTAGCGTAAGAATGTTTACATTTTTTTCAAGTTTGTTTTGCCAATAGAGGTGTATAAAATCACACATAACACTGGAAATAGTTTTCTCAGTTAAAGCAAAAGTAGTGCCTACTGTCTGTTTTTTCTGCTGTTGTGAATCTGTAAATGTAAACTATGTTGTGTCACACTACAGGGCTCTTTGAAAACCTTGTAACATTAAAAACAAAACCAAAACCCAACTCAACCAACCAAAACCCCATTTAGATTGTGTACCCTGCTAGTACATGGTTTGTGTGCAGTTGCTTGACATAATATAGTAGATCAGGTTATTAGGGTTCAAATGAAATATTTTTAAATTCTTCTTAAATCTTCTGTGTCAATCCTCTTTTGCAGTTACTTCTTTTCCTTCTGATCCTACTTTTTCTTTTAAATTAAAAATGATAAATAGGTAAAAGATCTCCATATAACGAGATCCATATAATATTTACAGGTAATGCATCTTTTCTACTGTAGGCCTAGAAATAAACAGCAAAGCGGATCTCTTTGAGATTTGTGTACTTCAGAATCCAGTAACGTGCTTCATTAAGTCATGTTGCCAACCAGATTATTTCCTTTAAAACAATCTTTCTTTCCTGCTACATCAGAACTACTTCTTGTTCTGAGAACCACATACCACTTTTTTCCTCCTGAATATTGCTATCGATGTCATCAAATGCTCATCACCTGACAATTCTAGGAATAAAGTTACTAGCAAAGAGGGCAGCAAGCCTGAGCCTTCCAGGCTGCCTCATTCTTCAGGACTGTTGTGCTCTTTTGATACATGTCCATATTCTAATGGAAGACTGTGGTGTTCCATGTGTATTTTAAAGGTACAGGGAATGTTTGTAGGGTATTTCAGTTGTTTGGTAGTGTTGGGAGGCAACAACATTGACGTTGTGAGGCATGGGTGAAATGAGAAGGCTGGAGACTTCTTTGTCAGGCAGCTGTTTTCTTCCAGAGTCTCCCACAGCTTTATGTTGACTTTTAGAGTGCAAAGCTGACTTGTTAGTCTTGCTTACTGCATTCATTCTGGAACTTAATTATTCCAGTAATTTTCTGAGTCAAGAAGAAAATACTGTTTTTTCTGATCAGTAATGCGCTTGATGAGTCATAAGTTTTTGTGTCTCTGCCATAAACTAGTTTTTACTATATTTGTTGGTTGAAAAGGTGAAGTTTGTTGTTTCTTTTTTTGGTCTTAGCGCATGAGCATTGTAGGGAGAGAATACATTAGTAACATATTTTTTCTGATTGGCAGGTCAATAAATTTAGTTTAGCTGACTGCCTGTTGGACTGTTTTGAAATTCCGGGCTGGTTTTGTTTCCAATTATCATAGAATCGTTATGGTTGGAAGAGACCTCAAAGATCATCAAGTCCAACCTTCTGCCCAACGCCACCATGCCCACTAAACCCACTAAACCATGTCTCAAAGAAGCATAGTTCCCATTTGTTTACCAGTGAAGTATGGTTTGTCACTTTAAAATCCAATGGCTGAGAAAGTGTCTTGTACTGGAATACAGATTCACAGAATGTCTCAAGTTGGAAGGGATGCATAAGTATCATTGAGTCCAAATCCCTGCTCCTCACAGGACTACCTAAAACTAAACTATATGACTAAGAGCATCATCCAGACGCTTCCTAATGTCCAATCTGAACTTCCCCTCACGCAGCTTCATTCCATTTCCTTATGTCCTATGAGTGGTCACCAGAGAGAGGAGATCAGCACCTCCCCCTCTGCTGCCCTCTACAATGAGGTCACCCCTCAGCCTTTTCTTTTCCAAGCTGAACAAGCCAAGTGACCTCAGCCACTCCTCATAAGTCTTGCCCTCGCGGCCTTTCACCATCTTGTCCACCCTCCTCTGAACACACTCTAATAGTTCAATGTCCTCCTCATATTGAGGTGCCCAAAACTGCACACTGTACTTGAGCTGGGGCCACACCATTGCAGTGTAGAGTGGACTGTAGTATTTTTATGTTGCTGTAAGTTTAAAAAGTTTGATTTAGCTAAAGACATTAGTTGCATTGAAGTGTTGGAATATGCAGACAAACTAATAGATGCCAAGTGTATTTTGCCTGTATTGACACTGTAAGCTACCAACAAAAAGGTATTATCATGCTACTCAGACAAGTGTTCTGTTTCAGAAAATTACTAAATGACCCACATAATGGTATGTACCTTGAGATGCACATGGAAACTTACTTTCTTTTTTCTTGAGGAAAATTTCTGTAGTATCTTTAGTTAATTGAAGTTCATGAACCAGAATGACTGTTAATGTTAATATAACCAAATGTTCTGTTTTTCTTGTGCAGCCACTAAGTAGATCCTAAATAGCTTTATTATCATTATCTAAGGTGTCACGCGCACAGCACCCTTTCACTTCCAACCTTATTGATTTAAGAACATTCTGCAGGAACTATGTGATGCAGCTCCTCAGTTAGACTTGTCATCCTCTTGTTTCAATTTCCACTTGACTTGTATATGTGTGCCTCTCTCTTGACCCTTTCTTCTCCATCTTGTATTTTGTCCACCCAGTTTTAGTGCTCCCTCTGCTCTGTCATTTTTTCTTTGTGCATAAATTGAAAAATAAGTGCATAAATAGGTTTTCAAATCACTTTCCTTCCAGACTCGCATCTAAATAGAGAAAAAAGCAAGATGTTTTTCATTATAGTCTAGTTAACTGACCTTGCATACATTTTCCTAGTGATAATTTTAAACTGCTTCCATAAATAGTTCCTTAAGCTACTTAAAAATAATGTTAAAAAGCAGATGGCTTAAAATACAGATCGCTGAAACCTACATTCTGTTACAGGTTTATTACTGCCTCCCCTCATACATTTCCTTTAGTCCAGTGCATGTCTTGATTTTTATCCAGCCAGCTGTCTGTTGACCTTTAATTACTGCTTAACTGTCCTTCAAAATTCTCAGTGGATTATTAGTTTCTGTAGTAGTTGAAGTACAGTGTGTGTGAGGTGGGGGGAGTGTGTCTATGTGTGTGTGTATATGTATATATTCATGTGTATATTATAAGAAGCTTAACCCCAGATCTCAAAAATAACCAGATTTATTTTTTTTAACAAATACAATAATAGGTGCTTTCTGCTTTTTCATAATTGTGGATAGGGCCAAACATACTCCGAGCAAGACCTTTTAGTTCTTTTCTGCCCTCTTTTTGAAGGTCAAGAGTATATACATTTCTGTAGGAAACGCCTGGATTATAAATAATGCTAGATTCAGAAATTTTGCTGTGAAGAAACACACATCTAACTTCAGTCTAGTGTTTAGCAACAGTCTTCAGGCATTTTTTACTTTGGGAAGACTGAGATGGAAGGTCTTGATATGATCTGTTGCTTCTCCCATACAAAAAAGTTGTTTCTGAATATTTGAAAAATATTATGTTATTCTTGTTCTGTTTATGCATTTACCTGGAAACAACAATGTTGCAATAGCAATTGTCAGAAGAGACAGAGATAAAAATTTGTTACAAACCGAAAAAGCTATTAGCCTAGTTGTTACTGGGGCAGAGGGGGGAAAGGGCTTTTGTTGGCTTAGAAACACTGAAGAAAAATAAGAGGAATCTGAGTGAGAATCTGGTCCTCCTGAGACTAACGAATACTTCTGTTTCCTTCATTGGATCCAGAAGTCACCCAGGATGCCAGATTTTTGTTTAGCCTTGTGAGTTTCTTCAAAACGGAATCTCCAGCAAACAAAATAACTTAAAGTATCATAAGAAACTGCTGGGATCCAGCGAAAGGAGTGTAGTAGAAGATTGGACAACCTTTCTTACTGTATTAGATAGAAGACAATGCAATTCTGTAAGACTTGAGTAATTTTTAAATTATGTGAAAGAACACTCCAAAATACTACCAGAAGGTTTTTGACTCGTAGCTTGACACTGGTATTATGAAATAAAGCAAATACATTTTTATTTTTTTTTTTAAAAAAAAGGAAGGGAAAAAAAAAGACTAGTACAGATAAGAAAAAGAGGAAGAACAGCAATCATAAGGCAGTTTTTATAAACTGTTGACATTGAATTAGTATACTGTATTTACTGATTTGAATAGTTTCTTTTTGAGTGTACAGCCTGCCAGGAAGGCCTGGTGACCAACTGGGGACCTCTTGTATAAACAGCACCACTCATTAAGAATGTGTCTGTTGTTGTGCTTGTGTTAAATGGGCCTTGCTGCTGGTGTCTGGGAAGAGCTGTCACTGTGATGCCTCTTGCTCTGGCTGTCTCACAGATGACACCAGTGACATGCAGCCTTGCACGCTGGGTTCCTTCTAGCTGAGGAAATGCAACCAAAATAAGTTATTGCTGTTAGAGTTTAGGAACTCATAATATGGAAATCTATATCGAACTAACAGCTGGCTCAGTCATGTTGTGTTTATGTGAATTGCATCTAATAATTTTTTAATTGTTACTGTATAGTTGAGTTTTATTCAAATTCTGCCTTTTTAACAAACTAATCAAATTGTAACCCTGAAAGAAATTGTCAACAAATGTCAGAATAAATGTTGTCTGAGTTTAATTATTATTTTACTCTGTGTGTTTAACCAAACACTACTATAATATTAGAAGCAAGACACTGCCACCTCTTTTTTTTAACATTGGATTTAATCAGAAAAATTGCAGAAGTATGCCATCTAGCGTGGGTTCTTATACTTCAGCATGTAACTGGAGAGAGAGAGATTAATGTAAATATATTGTTTTCAGCATTTAAACTATGGAGCAAAATTGTTTTCAAACCTTTCAATTTCTCATTTATTTGTGAGGTTGATTTTCCAATAATTTTTTAAGCATTTTCTTTTAAGTTCCCAGATTATTCTCTGCCCATTAAAATTTAAAAAACGTATGTGTACAAAGTATATAATATACAGTGACCATATACCAGTTCAGGCTCTGATTCTGTATTGCAAGATTATATACATACATTTCCCTCTGAAATCCTTTAAAGTTTATCTTTACATTATTATTTCAGTGAGAAATTATTAATTTCAATCTGAAGTTCTCTTTGTTTAGATTGCTATAGCCATTTTAGCACATTTCAGAAGATTGGTGATTGCAGATAATTGGGATATTGTAAAGAGGAAATGGATTGAGGACACTGCCAATTTAAAGTATTTCTGTGTAAAAAAATGAAAAAGTGTATTTGCAGTACATCTAAAGACATCTAAAATCACTGTACCTGGGAGTATGTATTTTTAACTTGCTTTTTTTTCTAAATTAGGCAACACTGCATCTGCAATGTGCTTGTCCTTAGTATAACTGCTTTCCCCTCTTTACTTCCACCTGTAGGGCAGCAGCCACTGAGAGGTTTTTTTTGTTTGTTTTTAATTAAAACTTCATCATGTAAACAAAAGCTTGCAGAGTGGTTGGGAGGGTAGGGGGAACTCATGCCTGAAATATCATTAAAGAGTCTTGATTTGTTGCAGTCAACAGTTGCTCTTAAAATTTGATGTTGACTATCAATATTGTTAGTCTCCTGTCCTCTTCTCTTCCTTACCCTGTTGGTTGCCATGGCAGTTTTCATTAATTTGAACATTACAGTCTGACTCTGGTTAGTGCACCGAGACCTGCCTTTTGAAAGACAACTAGACATCGACACATTCAAAAGTGCGCTTGCTGTCTCCTCTCTGGAGAGAGATGCACACTAGAGAAAGCAGTGGTTATAATTTTGCACTTTAAAAATGGGATAGACTTCAGGAAGATCTTGGGTACCTACTTTTAAAACAGTTAAATTTACAGGAGCTTAATTGCACCCTTTCTCTTCCAGAGCTTCTGCTTATTTGAGGAACCTGAGAAGTGTACTGCTTTGTTTTTAAAATTGTTCACCAAAGGGACCTTAGAATTAAGACTTTTTCTCTTTGTGTTTCTCATTATTACTTACCTTTTCTCGAATCTTTCCTTTCCATCTCTCTCTTTTCTCCCACTCAGTCTCCCACAATCGCGTCCTTCCCTGTATTCCCACTAATATTTTGTTCCTGGCAAACTTTCTACAGTTAATAGATTAACTTATGTTTGCAAATGCAGATCTTCATTAAGGTCTTTATCTTGTGCTAGATGGATATCAGTATTGACTAACAGCAAAGAAGAAGCATTAAATATGGCATTCCGTGGAGAGCAGAGCACAGGGGAAAACAGTTTAGAGGATCTGACAAAAGCCATTATTGATGACATACAGAGATTACCCGGAAATGAAGTCTGTTGTGATTGTGGCTCACCAGGTATCTCAATTTGTTAATGTCATCAACTTCTTGTTGGGAGCAAAGTAATTTCTTTAAAGAAGTGTTTGTAGAGTGCAAACTAATTTTCTGAGTGATGTGTTGATCAGTCTTCATCTGTTTTTAAAAGAACAAATATGACTTCCACACGTTAGTTCTGTTTAATTCACTAAAATATTTTTGTGTGTTGTCTGTGCTTACTTCCAGCAGTTCAAGCCCCTCTGGAGTTTGAACTGTTCTTGTTGCACTGTCTCTAGATGCTTGTTGCACTTGAATGGAAGTTGCTTGGCATCACTGATCCTGTGCATGCTACTAAGTAGAAGTGAGTAATGCTTAGACGATGATTGTCGAAAAAATGACCTTGCCAGGATCTTACTCTGAGTTTTTATCTTGGCATGAGACTACTGGAATTGCAGTATCAAAAATATTCAGAGGTGGAATAAGTAGTCTTACGCAAAGAATGAGACCCAGAGTTGGAATCCTAGCAGATAATATCTTCAGAAGTACAGCGTTACAGGTCAGTTATATGTCACTTAGAGCTTGAGGAAAGTCAGCTTGTCATAGTACTACTGAATTGATTTGGTAGTTGGCAGCTGTTACAGCTTTCAGATCTAAAGAGACACTTCAAGAAGATGATGTTCATTTGGAACTGAGTAGATAGTATGTGTCTTGAAGATGCTTACTGATGCAGAACTGATCCAACTAAGAAACACCTAGGTAAAAATACAAAGTGGAATTATGTCAAATCCTGGAATTGGTTCATTCAATTATTTCATCATGTAAAGCTACAGAAACTTTGGATTACAGTTCTTATGCATCTTTTAGTTTATAGTGAAGTTTTAAGCTTCACTCCTGCACCCCAGCTTGCTGCTTTAAAACTCTTGACTTAATGCTTTATCAGTTACTATCTAAGATTAAGGAAGAGGTTAATTTGAAGATATGTGTACAAAATATATCTGGAGCTTTTTCTTTTTCTTAAAAACTGGTCTTGCTTCTTATGTAGCATTCATAGTATAAGATCTATTCTAATCCTACATGCAGATCTCTTCCATGACAGCAATTTTTTTTTTTTTTTCTGGACTAGCCAGCATTCCTTAAATTTTCTACAACATACTACTATTTTAGCTATTGGAAAAGGCTCTGGTTAATCTTTTATGAAGAAAGATGATTTAAAGCTTAAGAAGTAAAGATTAAAACTTCAGAGGTTGCCAACAGTGGAATTTAGGAGATCTGCTTCTTTTAAAAACAGGAAACAAAAGCCTTATCTTCTTTCTACAAGAAACAAATCTTAAATGTATTCAAATAAGGTCATTTGGTATGGATTTATAAGTCTAAATTCAGTGCCTTTGGGACTGTCCCTAAATCTGATAAACTTAATTTCATTGGTAGCAATTTGTGCTGCACTGCACAAATTTGCACTGCAGCTTGGAGAAAAGTATGGAATATTCTTAGTTTATTTCGATTTGTTAAAACATTAAATGAGGAATCATTTCAGAATACATTGGGATTTCTTACCACCATTGAAAACCTTTTCTTGGACTTTGATTAAATGCTACATTTTTCAATTCTACAGATCCAACATGGCTGTCAACTAATTTGGGCATTTTAACCTGCATTGAGTGTTCTGGAATACACAGAGAAATGGGTGTCCATATTTCTCGAATCCAGTCTTTGGAATTAGACAAATTAGGAACATCTGAACTCTTGGTAAGTTTCTTTAATTTGGAATTTTTTTTTAGTCAAATGTTGACCTGTATGTAGGAAACATTCAGGTGTATAATTTACGGTTAATTTTTTTTCAAGGTATGGATTTTGCAGAATGTCATCTTCATATTTTCATATGTATCTTATGGGAGGGTTTTTACTATTATGTATTATTGATGCTTTTGACCACTTGTCACTTTTCATGTTCATTTCCTGAGATTTTTCAGAATGAATATTGACATCCATTGTGAATATTGTCATCAGAATTTTGCCTCTCATTAGCTGATCTTGACCCTAAATCAGGGCAATCTAAAATCTCACGTGATTAAAAAAGAAATGAATGCTAATTTAGCTTGACAAATGAGAATTTTGATGGAAGAAACCCTGTAACATTAAAGTTATGAAAGGAATTTGATGTGAGACTACAAAAAAAAAGGGAAGAAGAAAAAATACAAACAAACCAAAAATGAGTTACAGCAGGTTTATCTCCCCAGCTATGTTTGGCCTGTGAAAAGACACTTGTTACAGAAATTTTGAATGGGAAAATTGAGAGAAGATAGAAGGCAATTCTGGATTTGTGTATACGTTTAATGTTAGCACTAGTACTCTTTTCGAAATCTCAAGTAGTTTGCAAAGTTACTATTCATTTAAATCACATTTTAGTAAGCATGACTTTCCAGTCGATCTGAGCTTCTTTCCAAAAGTAACTTCCTGATCAGTGTACTAGCACTGTTTCAATGCTGCTAGTTCCCCATTCTGTTTTGATATTGGAGGCAGATTGTCTTGAGATACAAATAATTAACTGTGACTGTGAAGCCTGTTGTACAAGTTCTGGGATGATAGGATTCACGCTTTATATTTAGATGTAATCACCGTGCTTTAATTTTGTAATCCTGTATGTTCCATCTTTTATTAATAGTGTGGAAAATGCACATTAATAGTCCAGTTCTTAGGTTGCTGTTAGACCCAAAAAACTCCCACCCTCTTTTTTTTTTTTTTTCTTATTGCAGCTGGCCAAGAATGTAGGAAATACTAGTTTTAATGATATTATGGAAGGGAATTTACCTAGTCCTTCACCTAAACCCAGTCCATCAAGTGATATGTAAGTTTTGAATGTCTCAATTCTTTAACATTAAGATTACTGTGGAATATATCTGTGATATAAAATGTCTTAAACGGTAACCAAACTAGAGGAGGGCTAGGATGGCAGAAGACTGGGGTTTTATTACTCCAACTGTGGAGTTTCTTAGATGTTCAGTCTCTTGTCATGTAGTCACAGTTTAGCTACCTCAGCTTCTCAGTGTAGAAAACTGTGGGTTTGTGTTTCAAGATTCATTATTTTGAATCTTGAATGTTTTTGAGTTTTGTGGTATACCCTCAGGTGATAAACACAGTGGGGACTAAATGACGCTAGCTTCAGGTACTGTCTTAAGATGGTGATGAGCTTTTTCTTCCTTTCCCTGATGTACGAGAGCATAACAGATGTGGTTTAGCCACAGAAGACCTTTTAACCTATTATGCTTTTTTCTAGCTGACTCACTATTTTTTCTCTTACCCTGTTTTTAGCATGTATTTGTGAGAAATCACACTTCGGGCATTTTTTTTTCTTTGGTCTTAGTCCCCAGTCAATGTGATTTTTGTATGTAACAAGAGGGCAGGATAAAATTGACTATGTACTTTGTTTTGGGCTTGTCTGCAAGAGAGACACGCATTATAATAGTAGCACAGTCTTTATCAGATAGTTTTCCTCTTCCCTTCTCAGCTCCTGAGTTAGGCAAGGTGATTTTAAATATAAATCATTGACTGATATATCTAAAAATTTCTAAACCAACCTCTATTTTCACACCCCACAGGACTGCACGTAAAGAATTTATCACTGCTAAATATGTAGATCATAAGTTCTCTAGGAAGACTTGTGCATCTGCAGCAGCTAAACTGAATGAATTACTTGAGGCTGTCAAATCCAGGGATTTACTTGCACTAATTCAAGTCTATGCAGAGGGAGTAGAGCTAATGGAGCCACTGTTAGAGCCTGGACAGGTAAGCTTATCAGGTAAACAAAGCAGAATATTTTAAATAATGTATGTTTGTAAAATATCCAGGACATGGGGCTGCTACCTTAGATGCTAAAACAAGAGAAGTAACAAGATGAAAATGGTGGGATTTTTCTTCCTTTCCTTAATGTAGCATTCTTGTAGGGAGGGAAAAGAATCTGTTGTCATCAATGGATCTAAAGGAGTGTGAAATGCAATAGTAGTAACATACACCATTCTAGGTGCAGCTATAGTGTGTTGAAAAGCACATGATCTGCAGTATGTTTCTTTTAGGAAAAGTCTGAGAGAGGGGGCTTGAATTGATAACCCAAGGTCACCTGATATCATAGAGAGTATCATATCTGCTTTTAAAGTAGTTGCTGAAGGAACACATTATTGACTCTAAACAAGTCTCCGTTTACTCTATATGACGAGAGAGTAAATCTGATGCCTTCACAGCTTCTAACAAAACATTTACAGAAGAACAATTTCTTTCAACCAGGAAGAGAATTTTTTTTTTTTAAAGTTCTGAATACTTGATCTTCCTTCTGAAGGCAGTAACAGTTTTTTGGAAAAATTAGTCCAGGTTGACCTCAAGTATCCATGCAGAAATGTTGCTCAAGAGCAACATAACCTATTTTTATATACAATTGATGCTATGTAACCACTTGGCAATATTTTCTCCCATTACTTCTGAACCCAACTTAGAGAGATCTCAGAGAATGTTTTCAACAAGTTATGTGAAAATGGCTAACTTGGCAAAGGACAGAGTGCCTGTCTGTATTGAGTGGAGGGAATATAGTCTCAGTACTTGAGACATGACAGAGTGCTTATCATGGAAACACATTACAGATTCTGTAACTACAAGGTAAACTTTCTGTATTTGTCATCCATAGCAGTTACCAGAGAATTAGCTCCTTAGCGTTTCTCAGCTATTACAGTCAGTGATACTTAGAAAGGTCTGAACACCAATTGAAATGTAGTTTGCAGGTAGACATTTATAGCAGCCTTCTCCACTGTAAATTCTCTGATGTTTAATAAAGACTTTTTTTTTTAGAAGTTGTAACTTTTATTCTACATATATGTACTGTAATATACTTTTTTCCTTAAATGTCCTTTATGATCAATAGGAGTTAATGAAATCTGGGTTTAGATTAATTTCTCATGCAACTTTTAAACTGAATTGAACAGCATTGATATTTTCATTTAAATGCATTAATGCATATATTATATGTATAGAAAATAAATTATGATTCAGTTTAAGTTCAACAAGGGGAAACCCTATATCTGGGGAGGAACAACCCCACGCACCAATATATGCTGGGAACCACCCAGCTGAAAAGCAGCTTGGCAGAAAAGACCTGGGCGTCTTGGTGGACGCCAAGTTGAACATGAGCCAGCAGTGTGCCCTTGTGGCAAAGAAAGCCAATGGTATCCCAAGCTGCCAGGCATCACTAGACAAAGTATTGCCAGCAGGTCAAGGGAGGTGATCCTTCCTCTCTGCTCAGCACTGATGAGGCCACAGCTGGAATACTGTGTCCAGTTCTGGGCTCCCCAGTACAAGAGAGACTTGGACATACTGGAGAGAATGCAACGAAGGGCCACAAAGATGTTTAAAAGCCTGGAGCACCTGACATATGAGGAAAGGCTGAGAGATCTGGGACTCTTCAGCCTGGAGAAGAGAAGACTCAGGGGGATCTCATCAATGTATATAAATACCTGAAGGGAAGGTGCAAAGAAGACAGAGCCAGGCTGTTTTCAGTAGTGCCCAATGACACGACCAGAGGTAATAGGCACAAACTGAAGCATAGGAGGTTCCCTCTGAACATCAGGAAACTTCCCCCCCCACTACCACCATTGTGAGGGTGACCAAGTACTGGCACAGGTTGCCCAGGGAGGTTGTGGAGTCTCTATCCTTGGAGATAGTCAAAAAGCCATCTGGACATGGTCCTGGGCAGGTGGCTCTAGATGGCCCTGCTTGGGCAGGGAGGTTGGATGAGATGACCTCCACAGGTCCCTTCCGACTTCAACCATTCTGTGATTCATTGTATGTAGGACTATGATTTTGTGGGGTTTTTCCCTGATTTTGTAGGAAATAGTGTTGTGGCTATGCTTGGTGCTCACCAAGGTGTCATAAAGCAACAAGTATTGTAAACTCGGATTGCTTGACAGGATCCCTTTTAGTTACTAGTGGCTAAAATGGTAAAGGCTCCTCAGGACTGTTCCATCCAGCTGTGAAAAAGGGAAGACTGGTTTTGAGAAAGCGATGATCTCAGAAAGTGTGATGCCATTTCCTTTGAAGCACATCGTGTCTTTTAGAGATCAGAAAGGCAATAACTGCCTTTCATCATAATTTCCTAATAAAATTTTTCTATTGAAAGACTTGTTGTAACAGAGTGAGTGACATATATTTTGGTAGGTCTGATATTATAAGCTTTGCAGAAATAAGACACAAAAATCTAACTTGTATTTACATGTGTTTAGGAGCCAGGTGAAACAGCACTTCATTTAGCAGTCCGGACTGCTGACCAAACCTCTCTCCATCTGGTTGACTTCCTTGTACAAAACTGGTATGGATTGCTCATTTTTCCTTAAATTGTGCATTAAAAATATAGATGTTCAGAGCTATCCTTGCAGTACTTTGGACAGTGTGTGCTCATCACTTATAATCATTCTCCTTAGATAAGTTTCAAAAGAGCATAACTTAATACCTTTGAGTTGACCTTTGTACTCCTAATGAGGAGAGAGAGGGAAAGAAGTGTAGATTAGAAACATGGAAAGCAGTTATATAAAAATAAAATGAAAGGAAAAACTATGTAGAGCGAAAAAGGGCATTGATCTAGAACACAGGACAATATGAAACTATGCAAATGAATAGTTCAGGTAAAGGAGGGATGACAAGTAAACATTCCAAATACAATTTCTTTGCATGTGTCCTGTAAGACTAGAAAACAAGGATCTTTCTCAGAAAATTATGAATAGAAGCTAGATGGCCTTTGAAAAAGGTGTTCTAATAGTTAATGAACTGTATTAAAGCTATTGAGAGCATGATCTTCTTAACTAGTAGTTTTCAACATCTAGTTTATTGGCTGAGCTATTCTTTGTTGTCAAGAGATTTGTTCATGGAAGTGAAAAACATTAATGAAAACATTTTTAAAAAAAATTAAGTGGTGTAGTGGTACAGCATTACCTCTATTGTGAAACATATAAAAAATAATGATTAAATGAGATCAATTCCAGTCCACTTCTATAGTATGCTATGAAGTGAAAGAAGCAGCTGTCATGCACTGTGTCAGAGGAAAGCTGGGGAAACACAGAAGACTCATCACAACTTGCTTGAGCTGGCAGGGGGAAGGCTTGAGGATTTTTTTTAATTTTTGTTTTTCCCTCAGCATAGTGAGTCATACCTGCTATTGAAATGCAGTCAGTGAATAGTTATTTCTTTTCCTTCCCCCCTCTAATAGTTTATGTACTGTTGTGTATAGGGAGTGTTTGAAAGTTTGGTCTTCTGGTAACAGCACAGACTTGGAATCCGTGTTCCTGACACCATCTCTGGGCTATGTGGGCTAGCCATGTAACCTTCAGTTAAGCTTTATTCTGCCACTACTCCCTCATGTTAAATGGAGTGCTGACTGTTGTAGGAGTGTTATTAAAGTAAAAAATAAAATAAAAAATAAGCTACTAACATTTGCAAGCTGTTTGAGATCATAATTTGAAAAATATTTTAGAAACCCAAATTATAATTTAGAGTATTATTAAAGGATTTGTTATTTTGGATTATTATTTTAAATTATTTTGTTTAGTTATGAAGCTTCATGGTTTCTTCAGACAGCTATCATCTTTTACGTGTTCCTGTCAGCTGTCTGTATTTGTGTCTCAATCTCAAATTGAAGAGCATCTTTGTAACCCTATGGCTCTGCACTTACTGATCAATTTGGGTAATAACTGAGTGGAAGAAAAGCTGTCCTCTTCTGAGCTTTTCTTTTCATTTTTATAAATGTATTACATTGATCTCAATATGTCATAACGTTTTTGAGACACCTTGCTTCAGAAATTGAAAAGCAAAGGCAGCGCAGTTTTAAAAAGCCCTGTGAACCCTTTTGCACAGCTTGACTTTCCCTAACGCAGTGTGTGTCCTTATATTCCTTCTTATGACTCTTTTGTGCATCCTCGCAGCCACCCTCTTCATAGTTCCTTGAATGCGTGGGACTTACTAATGTATTCTAACTGTATCAAAATGATTTCTCAGATATTTTTTATTGGGCTAATTTAACATGTTTAAAAAAGAAATTCCAGTAAAATGGCAGATGGAAAACAACTGGTGTGACCTTACAAAGGATTAGGTTTGAATCTTTGAGTTCCCCTTTTTTTTTTAATGAACATCTGTAGATGCTCAGGCCTTTTCAGCCACAGCTCAGGAATTTCCAGTATGCTCAAAACTATTTTGAATAGTCTTTGAAAGTAATGTTTAGTTTATAAATACTTCTTTCTCTTTCAACTTCATATTTGTCCCGTAAAGTATTTATGCATTTATTATTTATAGGGATGTTGGATCTGAAATGAATAGCACAGCATACTATACTTTTCTTGATTGTTTTTTCTTTTGTGTTTAGTGGAAACCTGGATAAGCAAACAGCATTGGGTAATACAGTTCTACACTACTGCAGTATGTATAATAAGCCTGAGTGTTTGAAATTGCTTTTGAGGGGGAAACCAACTATTGATGTAGGTAAGTTCATTATTAAAGACTAGGAAATAAAGATTTCCTAAAATTTCTTTCCATTATTTTAACCACTTTTATTTATGTCTCACACTGTTAAGTAAACTTTTTTAAAAGGGGAAAATAAAACTGTGTTAGAAAAATGAAGACTTTGCCACCAAGCCTAAAGAAAGCATTCAGTTAAGAAATGGATCTTAAGTTCTTAGAAGATAATAGTGACAAAAATTTTCTAATATGAAATACTAATGGTAAACCCTAGTTTTTCTGCAGAGTTTTATTTCTGACGCATTGTAAATGTCCTGGAATTTAGGTTTGTTTATACTGTAAAATTCATCTAGTACCTGTATGTTATAGTGCTTCAAATGGCTGCTCACATTATTTCCACTTAGATGTATGTGGGCTTTGTGTACACAACAGTTAATTCTTATTTTAATATTAATGTCAACTGGCACTGCAGTTTCACCCAGCATGCCCTAACCACCACTGTAGCTGATTAGGGAAGGGATTAGCTTTCTCAGCTGCCTTTCTTTTGTTTGCCATCTACATGTGTGAGATAGGTATAACACTTGCTGGACTGAAGTCAGTCCATTTTTCATCATGGCTTATCAAAAGTTTAATTAAAAATAGAATCTCTGTAAACTGTTTGCTCACACTTAGGATAATCTCTCGTTTACCAGATGCTCTCCTTTCTCTGCCATATTTTGAGAGTTAGGAAGGTATTCCATTAATCCAGCTTGTCAGGCTCAGGAGCTAAGTGTCATCAGCATGTCTGTAAAACATTTGCATTCTGTCAGTTCTTGGTAAAGGAGGAAAGCTTTCTGAACAGTTGGAGCAAACTGAAGAGTATGAGCTTTTATTTCTCCCGTTTTCCTCATTGCCTTAATTTTCCTCCACTGCCCAGTAAAAAAAAGTTGCGTAAATTTTAGTTCATAGCTCAGTGGCAGAAGTCATTGGTTTCCTTGGCCTTTTTATACATCCTTAGAATATTTTCTAATATTATTATAAGTCAAAGAGAATGGGAAAGCTATCTGAACAAACTTAAGCATGTCTGTTAGTCTTTCTGTTGAACTCTCACCTATAGATGCGAGTAGAGTGTTGTAACCTTTTTAGATCGTGGTTTGTTGGGGTTTTTTTTAATGCTCTCATATAGGAAGTGCATATCTTCTTTAGGCCTCGAAACATCAGGGTTATGCTTAAAGGTTGAAAGTTTGGAATTTATGTACTCTCTTAAGCTATCTGTGTGCTAACTTCTGTTAAGAGGTATTATATTTTCATTCCTTTTCATATTAAAACTCCTGAAGCATCTTGGGTAGATCTTTCCATAAGGAGCCCTCCTTCTTAGGATCTTAACTTTTCAAATTCATAGGCCTTTCTAGATGACTGCTTTGTATTTTCTAGAACTCATGACTGGCATTCTGTATGTAATATTACACATAGCTATAGTTGCTTATGAGACCTCAGTTTGACTGTTTTCAGTTCTCAATCACAGAAATGCTTTACAATCTGGCTAAGATGTAGAGCATACTCTGTTCCAGCTCCATGGCATTTACTGCTATCCTGTAAGAATAAATTCTACCTAAGGTTTGTCCACAGAAGTTTGGGGTGTTGGGGTTGTTTCTGTTTCTGGAGACTTGCTATTGAGCATCTAGGAAGGATCTCATTAGATGTGCCAGAGGACCTTCCAGAGTGCTTAGATACCACCTTTTTTCTGATCAGGCATTATTTTAAAATGTAAACGATTGTATAGCCTTTATAAAGATGAAGTAGCTAGAAGGTTTAAAAATTATTCTTGTTCAAATACCATCTGAGAATAGGACTTCTGTCTTCAAATTCAGGCTTCAAACTGCTACATATTAATCAAAGTAAAACGTGCTTGGATCAACATTTGCCTTTTTTTTTTTTTTAATCTTAGAATAGTTTTCTTTTTTAAGCTATCTTACCCTGTATGCTTGCTATTCCTGCTTATTCATGTAAGAGTTTTACTGGCAAAGGAGTTGAGTCGAAACTGAAATGTCTAAATTTCTTTATATTTTCTGTTGGAATGCTTAGGAGGGATTTGGGAACTATTCCAGCAGATGCTGCTGTTCAGAAAGAACCAGATGATACATGAAATGCATGAATACTTAGAGTGGAATCTTAAAGAGCTGCAGCTGCTATAGAGTAAATAGATGGTTTGGATCACTTTTAGAAGTTACTCTGCTAAAAATACTGAAACTCAGTGAATTGATTCTTTAGACATCTCAAAGAATCGCCTCTTTTTTTATTGTTAATTTTGTAGTAAACCAAGCTGGAGAGACGCCTCTGGACACAGCAAAAAGAGTGAAAGCTGTCCAGTGTGAGGAACTGGTAAGAGGCAGGGTGGGGGATGTTTACTTCTTTAAAGATGTGATCTGCTTAAGATATCATTACCACTGTATCTCAAACTTGGTATTGCTGCCAGCTGGCTCTATGCTGGTCTGAAGGCCCTACCATAGATGAATATTTTCTAACTTCAAAACAAAACAGTAATTTTCTTTGTAACAGTTTAAGTAAAAGATCTTACTTCTATTGAAAGTACTTAGGATTTTAACAAGCATATTTGAAAACCTTCAATACTGGAGGGTCAGGTATTTGCATACCAATCAATGCATCATTCTAGGACATTTGAGCTTCATCACCTCCTTGGATACATTTCTATCAGGAGTACAAAACAACTCCTGAAATATTAAATCTGTCAAGACCTTTTGAGTCTGGATGTTTGTTTGGCTTTTTCCAGATTATTTAACAGGACAGATAACTCAGAGGTGGTGAAAGTCTTCTTACAAGGAGAATTGAAACAACTTGAAATTAAACCTACTCAAAGGAGAAAGAAGCAAAAGTGTAATGTCTGGAAGTTAGGGTATCAAAAAATGTAGAACACCAGCTTCTGTGCAACTTTGTCCCTCTACTGAACACGATCAAGGCAAAAACTTTCTGGAATTTTGAGAATGTATGAGGGATGTTAACAGATGCCACTCAAGAAAATTGTTGGCGTTCAGGAAATAAAGGTGTTAGAGTTAAAGGATTTTCCCAGGTACTACTCTTCTGAAGCAGTTAGCCAGCAATAAGGATTCCACACCAGACCAACAAGTTTGTTTCTTCTTAGGCCTCTAAGGTGCCTCTCACCAGTATGCATTTAGTAGGCAAGTGAATTTAAGTACTATCAAGGGATTAAAAAGTCCTAAGTAGCGTGGCAGTTTCACATTCAAGGCAAAACAAGAAGAATTTACAAAACAGTTGTCACTTGCTGCTTAATTCTATTTCTCAGAACCTTTTTGCTCATTTTGATGATCCAAGGAGGGTATCTACTTTTGCTCTGCAGCTGGTAATTTTAATACCTTTCCTTTAATAATTGAAAGTTCTTATCATATGTTAATTATTTCATAATCAAGAGAGCTTGTCCTTCACAAATTGTAATAATTTTTCATGTCTCTGGGGATGCAAGTCAACATGTTGCTATGGTTGATAAGGTGGTACTCTCACTAACTTCTCAATCACTCTTATGTCTGCTGTGCACATAAGTACTGTTTCCAGTATTCTGTCAGCTGAAAAACAGATCAGCTGTACAACACACAATTGGTATGGATTGCTTTTTTCTTTGCAGTATGTATTTAATAAAGTAACATTGGCCATGAATGTGGATCAACTGATTGTGTTGTAGAACAAACAAAAACAAGTGGATGTTATCAGTGAGCTTGTCTAGCAGTTAATCATTTCAATTATTGTAATCGAAATTCCACGAATGCTTCACTGATTATTTCTGTTAACTATAATACACCTTTTATGCCTGTTCTCTTTTTTCCATTTTCAAGAGGAAAATTATATCTGCATTTTTCTCAAAAGTGGCAATGAGATAAGATTAAGAGTAAAAAAAAAAAAAGTATGACTGAGCATATTGTTTACCATGGGCAATAAAAAAAGTACAAAATAAATATCTAGATGTTTGCAATATGGTAGATGTACTAAACTAATTTCTGTTGCATAGCTGGACTGTGTAATTAAATTCAATTTCAACTCAGGTGAGTTCACTAAAACTTACATAACAGATTGAAAATGCTTGCTTTCTTCCAAATTTTATTTCAGGAAGATGATTAAAGGCTCTCCTGAATCAACTAGTACCAAGTAGACTACGTTTCAAAGGACGTGAAGCAATAAATAATGATGGGAAATCTAAGCATTGAAAAGGAAAATTTATCTCTTCAGAATAACCATGAACTGCAATTTTCTTTTTTTTGCTGAATGTTACAGTAGTAGATTTTTAAAGAATGTGAATACATTATTTGGGCTGGCAAAGTAGACGAATTTTGTGCTTAAGACACATTGGCCTCATCCAGTGATAGGGAGTGAAATATTTAAATAAAGGATAAATAACTTTTATCTTGATTCCAACACAAGGATTGTGATTTTGAAGGGGTAATAGTTGTATGTACCAGAATTTATAAACAGATTTTGCCTTTACTTCTTGGAAACGAGGGCTCCAGATGCATTCTGCTTTTGTGTATATACCTTCTCTTCACGTCATCTTTTCAAATGCTTGTCAGACATGGCAACTTCTTCCATTTTAAGAAAATCTTCCCCTTTCGCCTTTTAAATGTTTTTTCTATACCTCAAATAAATGAAGGCTGTTTGTGCGATTGCCCTGAAAATGTTTCTTTTTAACGTCTGGAAGAGTTTTAAACCTCCAGATATTTCAGTTTATCGCTTGCTGTTACAAAACTCACTTCATTGACACCAAAGGAATAGCAAGTATTTTAACAAGGATTGTTATTTCTTTCAGCTTTCTCAAGCCAAGGCAGGAAAGCTAAACCCACACGTCCATGTAGAGTACGAATGGAATCTTCGGCAGGAAGAAATTGATGAAAGTGATGATGACTTAGATGATAAGGTAAGCATGAATTACGATACAGCTTAACACAAAAACTGTCAAAATTCCTGTTCTGTGGAAATGAATGGAAATTAGAAAGCCACTTCAAACTTTTTTTTTTCTTACAGATTTTGGGGGGAGGGGGGAACAAGCTAGTTTTGAGGCCTGTATTAAAGACTGCCAAAATGCTTTTTGAATACACTTTGAAACCTCATTATTATGGACGTGAGTTTCAGAAGTTTTGCTTTGACAAGGCATACAGTATAATATAAATCAGTAAATGTAGATTACTTTGTTGTCATATTATCCCCTTCTGAATTCTGGGTTGTTAATTTTTAGCTGGAGGAAATCCAAAGCTTCCATACTTACTTTTTCCATAAATTAATTAAAAACCTGGTTGTCAAATAAATAACCCTTATTTTTCAAAAACTGTGCTGTGCACTTTATTCCTGATTAAAAAAAGAAGTAAGGGAAAGACAAAACTTGAGGGCATAGGATAATTGCAATCCTAGAACATGTGAAAACTTAGCCTCAGTGTCCTACTTTAGCAAGTCAGTTAATTACTCAGTGCTCTGTTTCTGTAATAAATGCAAATACACTTCTCCTATTTTATATGGGTGCTGTAGAAAGAAATGTGGTCAACTTTTCATTTTCTGTGACACTTGGGACTGAAAAATTCAGAAGCTACAATAATTTACATGTCCTCAAGGACAGTAGAGAACAAAACAATTATCTGTGCAACGAGCGTCAGAAGGATGACTAATGCTGTATGGGAGATAATAGCCTGCCTGAACCAGGGCTGCAGTGAAGCAGATCATGCTCCTTATGCAGCTATTAATACACAGCAGTCAAAAATTGCTGTGTAAAACTTCTTCAAAGAGCAATGATATACGTTTAAAAGAGCTGTACCATTGAATATATTGCTAGTTCAGTCAACAAATAAATCTAATGTGTCAGAAGTGGTTATTTATTTTTCTTATACATCGAGGGGGTAATATACTTGATATTTGAGGATAACTGTCTGGTCTGAGTAAAGAGCTATTTGAACTGAAAATGACTCTCATATTCTAAAAACTTTACTAGGCTTTTATTAGTATATGACTTAGTATATTATTATTGTATATCTGCTGCTTTAAGAATAAATCTAACTTTGTGTACATGATGATTTGTTGATGCTACAGTCTTTTATTTTTCAGTTAGAGGAGAGGATCTTTCAGGTCAGATCGCTGAGAAAGGGAGGAATGTGGACTTATTTGTCCACTAAAGAAAGAAATTATGCTCATGTTCACTAGAATATGTTCTGTTATATTCTTTCCCAAACACATTAACTATATTTAGTATTTAGACAACTGTATAATATATTGTTTTTCTGTTTTCAGCCTAGTCCTATAAAAAAAGAAAGATCTCCAAGACCCCAAAGTTTTTGTCACTCTTCGAGCATTTCTCCCCAAGACAAAATGACTCATCCTGCATTTAGCACTCCTAGAGACAAGCAAAGACTCTCCTATGGAGCTTTTACCAATCAGATCTTTGCTTCTACAAGCACAGATTCACCCACCTCTCCAACTGCAGACGCTCCTCCTCTTCCTCCTAGAAATGCTGGCAAGGGTAAGTCTGTCTTCAAACTATGCCTGCAAGCATTAATTTTTCAAATGTTTCAAGATGTAGTGTGTTTTTCTTATTACATTGATGTCGTAATATGGTACACTGCATGTTCAAAACTTAGAAAAAAAAAAACAAAACGGAGGGGGCATTTTGTAAGGGACTCATTCATAACAGTGTACATGAATGAGTGAAAAATAAAGTTGCTAAATAAAAGTTGGTTCATTTCTGTTTGTATTTTGAAGAAGCATTTTTAACCATTTACAGTCACAAAAATACAAGTGTGTTAGAAAAGGTGGCTGGTGCATAGTGCTATATGATGATGTGCTGTGTCACATCTGGCAGAACGCTCAAAGAAACAAAGCTTTGTAGGAGAGGAGGTGCAAGAAGACTTCCTCTCCTTGCAGTCAGACAGTGTGGAAAAAGAAAAATACCAGAATGACCTGGGAAATGCTAAGCAGGTTGGTATTAAAGTTCCTTCCCTCTCAGTGCATCAACACTCTCCTCTTCCATTTTGGTGAGTGCTACAGGGGTGTAAAGAACAGCAGAGAAAATACCAAGCCTGCTGCCAGATAGACTTGTGCACTGAAGATCTAAACTAAACATCACCCATTCTTCCCTGAGTAAAACAACCACTTTGCTCTTGTAGAATTATCCATAAGGAAGGCTTGTGCTACAGTTCAGTCAGTTTTGCAATCTACGTTTAGTTGAAACAAATGAGATGCTGTTTCTTCTTAGTAATAGTAGTGGCACTCTTGGTAATGCTTGAAAGGGAAGGGAACTTATTTCCATATGATACTTACTCTTGCAGCTGTAGTGGATGGTCATTCTTTAACCTAGATAGCTGTAAAATTCAAGTTTAGAGGATGTCTTTATGGAATTAAACCTGTTACTTTACTATAATTTGTGCCCTTCATCTTTTCCCCCTTTTTTTTTACGTATTTAATTTAGAAATAGCCAAATTACTTCTTTACAGTAGACTTGTTACAGAAAACTTTAGTTGTGATGAAGGCTACAGTATAGTTTAGGGCTTCAGCAGTTATGCTGATGCTCCCTTTTGTTAGCACTGCTGTAACTTCATACTTCATTTCCTCAACTGGTAGTTAATTTTGTTTTCCAAAAAGTGAAGAAAAGCTCTCACTAAAATGTGAAAGAGTAAAAGGGGCAGAACACAGTGTGTTGGCATCAGATGTCGGCTTTTACATGGTTCAGATGCTGTGCCTAAGAACTACTGTTCCACCATCAGTCTTTCTCATGTACTGGCAACTTTCAAATGAATCTCTTGGCTCTCTTTTTAAACAGGTCTGTTTTCCATTAAGAGGCAACGTGATTTTGCCAGGGTATGCATTTTTCACATGAGATTGCATAATCCATGTTTCTTTATATCAGTTTCACAGGGGACTAATTTGTGTTCCTTTTAACTTTACTATGTTGACCTTCCTGTTGGCATTACAAGATTCTCACTTTTTCCTTCCTCTCTCCCATCTTTTTCACATGCTCTAAGAGTCTGCTACTGACTGTCCATTGTCAGACACAGTATACTGGCGTAGATGTTCCTTCAGTCTGACCTAGGATAACTATTTTTTGTCATAAAGTTGCAGACTTGGAAACTAATCATGAATCCCATTTCCTTAAGAAGGTTAAGAAGCTTGTGTCTTGTCTGTACACTGCTTAGTATGGTGTCAGTTTTCAGTGGATTATCATAAATGTTATTTCTTTATCATTATATAGTGTAGCTCTTATATGGACTTATTCAGAAAATTGTCGTCTTCTTCAGGAAGGGAAATATTTTTGTGCATATTTCATTCTAAGTATGTATTCAAGTTTCAGAAATGTTAGGCATTTTTCTAGGTGTTCCTGTGAACTCCTAGATGAGTGAATCAACACAACACCAAAGCTACTTGGAAAGAAATGAAGTGTTAAGTTCTTCTGTGTTTTCATGTCAAGGATTACGCAAAAGCAATCCTTATTTATATTACAACAAAATAATATGATTTTATCACAAAATACAGAGAACTATTGCCTTCTAATATAACGTTAACTGCTTCATCAGAGTGGAAGATGCCAGATTCACAGTGTAAGTCTGAGCGGGAGGTTGAATGGGATTATGGTTACATTAAAGTCACTAGGCTTCTCTGCTTCAAACATGCTAAAATTTTACAGTCTGTGAGTGGTGCTGTTTTTTTGGTTGATTTTTATTCAATAATATTGGCAAGTATTTAATTGGTTTTAGAAGTTTCCATTAACTACTTGCTAAGACTTGAAAGAATAGAGGAACAAAGTGACAAATGCATAGAACAATTCATCAGTGTGGAAAAGTCGCTCTAGACGCATCACTGCAGATGCACTTATGATTCATTACAAACTGTGCGCCAACTTGTTATCTCCCGTCCTTTCAGCTCCTAAACAGATTGTTTAAAAGACAAAGAAGCAGAGACTCCCCACTTCCATAAGACACTGGTGACACATCTTAATTTTGAAACAGTCTAAATTAATTTTCTTTGTGGGAGAAAAAATACTCCTTTAGCATTTATGTGCTCTTTTGAGATGAGTAGTAATAGTGTATATCCCTTACATCAAAGTTTAACATACAAACTTACTTAACAAATCCTTTTTTTTGTTAGATAAGTTCATTTCCTAGCTACATATTTGATTTAAGATTATATGAAAACATAGTATTTTATTTTGCACTAAGTTCCCTAAATAGTAAGAGTAAGAACAGCATTGAATCTGTAATTAAATTTAAGCTTACCTTCTGTCCCCAAAAGTAATCTGATCTTTGTCCCTGCTCTGCTGTGATGCCCCGGCAGATACCACAGGACCCTGCTAGAGCATGCAAACAGTCTGTAGGGAGTGGATAGCTGGTGGGATCCATATTTTAGAAAGAGGCAGAGGATTTTAAATTTCATGGGTTTTATCCTCTGGGGCATACAGATAAAACTTTTTTTCCAAAACATGTTGTATAATTAGACAAAACCACCTCCCTTTAGCCCTCTTTAAGCTGACTTCATTCGCCAGTGAAGTTCCTTGGTGGCAAGGTTCCATGGCGTTTGCCGAGATGCCACAGTGGACTGGAAGCCATCAAGTCTGAATTTTGTGCTAGGGAGAGAAGGTAAGTTTAAAGCAATTTATGTAATGCACACCACTCTTGCCTGTGGTTTTCAGTGGATGTGGTGTCTAAAAATTAGTTTGATTAATCATTAAAATTGTATAGGTACAATTGTTGGAGGATATGTGTATGGGGATTGTTTTTAGGTTTCTCCATACATCATTACAATGTAAATCCAGATTTTCCAGTTTGATAATTTTTCAGAATATTCCTAAAAATGCTGGAATGTTAGTGTATTCAACTCTAAACCAGCTCTTTTATAGATACGTCTTGCCTTCTGCTATCTCTGCTGCAGATTTAGTTAATCCTAATAGAATAGAACGAAAAGTACAGAATGAGTGCAGTAGCTGCGTAAGCCAACTACTGTATACCTTTTCCAATAGTTTATCTAAGCCTATTCATGTTCAACTTGTGTTGTCAGTCAAGTCTAGTCTGTAGCATTCTGAAAATCATCTTTTGCATTAGTCTTTCCAGCTTACACCTGTGTTGTGGCTCCAGACATCTAGCAGGTCTTCTGCCAGTTGTTTTACAAAAAGCTTTCAAAAACAAAACAAAACAAAAATCTATGTTTAAGTAGTTGCATGACTCAGCACAGTAGCTAAATAAACTTTTGCACAACCTTAATTGCCAATCCAATGTGAGGACAATGTTCCTAACTAGTTTTGTAGAAGTGTTAGGCACTCTAAGCCAGGTTTCCTTAATTTTAGCTGAAAGCTCATTGATTTTTAATGCTTCTGCCTATTTCTCTCATATGGGATGAACACAGAAGTCAGGGATCAATTTTATGACCTGAAGTTAAGTTTGGATCTTCAATAGTTACAAATTTGCCTATTTTACATTCTCTTTGACAGCTCTAATGTTAGGTACATAAACCCAAAGGCACTTGCTTTGTGGTTCCAGTCCACTGCTACTGCAGACACCATGTCATATAATCTGCTACTTCACTTGATCAGACTCAATTTCTAACCAAATTAGCTTATTTGCATTTACTAGTAACTTCTAGAAGTTGTCTGACTGTATTGCTCACAGGATTAGAAATCTTCTCAAGTCCACTAAATTACTTTCTTCATGTACCAATGTTGTCATTTAGCTTTGATGATTCTTCTGTCATTGGTGTCTGTATCAAGGCAGTATTGGAGAGCAGTCATACAGGTCTCCGTTTCTGTTTTGTTAGGCTAAACAAACCAAGCATGTTTCACCTTTTCTGATAGTGGAGTATTTTCATTCTCCTGTTATTCAAGTCGTCCCTTCATCATACTAGCCCTTCTCTGTACCTTTGCTGTTTAAATCAGCTTTCTTAAACACAAGTGACTGGGAGTGTAGGGACAGCATTAAAACCTCACTGTTTCTGCTGGAAATACTACATCAAAGCATCCTTTTGTCTTACTTGTTTTTTCATGATTGCATCATACGATGGCATATCAGGCATTACGCAGTCTCTGCTACCATTTTCAACCTAATTGATAGCATAAATGCTTCCTTAGTGTAGAATTTTAACGTTATCTGTAATACTGTTGTATTTAATCTCATTTCCATTACGTCAGCCTTTGAGGTCATCCAGTTTCTTCTCTTTCTCCTGAATGCTTTCAGGATTCAATAGTTCTTTTGCATATACTTGAAGACTTAATTTTTAAAATATTCTTATAAATGTGTTGTACGTTTTGGTTAAATAATACTAGTTATCCCACTCAAACTCTGTATTTTTTAGTACCATAATAGGAAGGGAAGGCTAACTGACAACTGTTAGTTTCATGGGTTTTTTATATTTGTACATCAACCCAAAATACAACTTTCTTTAATATAAATTTTGGCTCTTTTTTTAAACAGAACTTTGTTAGCGTTAATTATAGAATGTACTTCAAATTCTAATGTTGAATCAGTGTATATTCTTAGCTTTCTTATTCAGAGTGATCGTGATAATTTTTTCTTTAATTTATGATCTTATTTTCAGTACTGAAAATATACGATCCAAAGTAAGACTGAAGAAGGATTTTAGTAATATCTGTGCAAAAATGTCACTCAAGAACTTTAAAAATAACACTTGTTAATGAAAATACTATTTTTAATATGGACTTACTTTCCTTTGCAGTACCTGTTCTGCCATTAACTGGAATACTGGTTCTTCCATATCTCTCATTAAGTGGTAAAAAAAGAAAAAAACAGTGAGGTTTTACACTCTAAACCCACCATTTCTTGAGTGGATGGTAACAGCTTTGCATGGTTTCACAAGTACACAAATTAATAGATACTATACTAACTGCACAAAAGCTGGATGGCAGTGCACTGTTAATTGCAGACCTTTTCCAGTTATTTACCTTAGTACAGTAACTTTGAGATTATTTGATCTGTTTACACATGAAAGCACGATCCTTGTAATATGAAAAAGTGATAAAAGATGACAACAGCTTGTACTGAAAGCAACTGCTCCCCATCTAACTAAAGACAAAAGAGCCCAATGGAAGCAAAATCCAAAAAAATTCTAACTCAAGATAATTTTTTTTCCTTGTATGAGGAAAATGTTCTTCATGAAATGTGAACTTCACAACTATGTGAGAAATCCTCATTAAGATGACTACGGAGAAGAAATTGTTGGCTTACTTGCTGCCTCCTTTGATCTAGAAAAAGAACTGCTCTGATTACTGCTTAAAAATAGCTAGCTAGCCTTGTATAATTAAAAATATCACCTAATTATTGTTTTGAGAGTTTGTATATAGATACTTAACAGAAAGTATTTTATAACAATTTTACTGATGCTTTATACATCATCAGATCTGTGTATTGTTTCACCAGTTGTTTGCATAAACTGATTTAGATTCCAGAACGTTTCCCACGTTTGCTTTATTCAGAGCGTGATGTGACTTTATACCTTTCTGAAAAGATGTTTTTAAGGCTTCCTTGATTTTCTATTTATTTGAAAGTAAGTTATTTTGTATTTCAACCATCTAATCATTAGTATATGACTTCTAAATGCCTATTTATTTCTCTTGTGAAATTAATATAGGGACAAATGCTAGGAGTCTGAAAAGATGCACTGTTTTTAATACCCTTACACCTTTTTCCTGTAACTGTTGTATGCCATGTGAACTTTTGAAAGCTGTGAAGTGATGATGTTCTTCAGCTCTTCTGGAGATACACTACTAGTCTGAAATCTAAACTATATCCATATAACCACATTTAAAGAGTTTTGAATCCTACTAAATTTGATTTTTGTAGAGAAGGATTCTTCATTTTATTGGCAACAAAAACTACAAATTTTACTTCGTGTCTGAAGTTTGATTTTTGTGATAAGCACACAATACTATTTCAATCCATTTCCTCCACCTTTTTTTGCCCTTCAAGCCAACTTTGAACTCTTTGTCACTTGTGAGGGGGCTGGAGGTGGTGTTCGGGTACAGCGGTGAGACCGCGGTGCAGTACAGAGAGCGAGGCAATCGCTGGGGGTAGGACAGAACCTCTGCTGTCAGCCCTTCCCACTGGCAGACGCTTTGGAAGCATGTAACTTCTTTTCGAGATGTCAGGACAAGAGAAAAATACTATACTGATGTACTGTGTATCTTCTTGACACGCTTTAAAAATAATGTTACTGTTAACACTGGATGTGAATTTTCCTTTCCCCTCGCCGCTCCTAGATATACTCTGAGTTACTTACAGTTTATAGAACAACCTTTGATTCATATTTATTTAAGCCTAAAGAATTTTATTAAAACCTAAAGAATTTATGACTTGCAGAAGTCTAGGGGGTCATCAGGCAAAACTTCACATTAGAAAAGTTTTTTATTTTTGCTGGCAGAAACATTTCAATGCATCATTTAAATTAGCTCACTTTTTTAAGCTCAAGGATAAAATTAAAATGAGAAAGGATGCAAATTGGGGAATAATCATTAATTTGCACTACCATTTGACTTCTTGTCAGTTAATGGTTTTGTGAACTTGGGAGTAAATTGAGAGAAATAATTGCAAAATATACAATTTGATTTACAAAAGTAAGCAACTAATGGAAAGCCAGGCCAAAATACCTGCTGGGCTTGTGGTTGAGAGATTCTTCTGAGCAGCAAAGGCCTTCTGGGCTTGAATCTGGAAGAGAATAGAATCATTAACTCATTAGGGGCAGTTTTATTAGTCTTTTCTTTGGGGTTTAGAAAAAAGAGGGAGGTCACCCGCTGAAAATATCTGGCAAATGTACACATGCTTACAGGGTAATTGAAGTTACTTTTTTCAATGTTTAACATTTCACCTAAGGCATTTTAACAAAGATTATTCTTCATTGATTCTAATACTGTTATGATGTATAGCAATTTGGGGAGGAATGCACACTTTGGTAATTTCCAGGCTACCTGTTACAACTGGTAATAAATATTTTTAAAGAGGCGGCTCTAGTTCTGTGTGCAGGTTAGGGTGTATGCTGATTAACAAAATGAAGATTTTTTTGTCTCAAATACTGTTCAAATAAACTAGGTTTTCAAAAGTAGGCAAGGTGGTTCTATAGTGCTACAAAATATGTGACAATAGACTTGAAATTTCAGGTATAAATAAACTTTGCTTTTAAAATTTCGTGTGGATTTCTGCATTTACCCAGAGCCTGTGATAGCAAAGCTGTCTTACATGCAAAACTTACTGCAAGATCATGACTGCAGTGAAGTGTTATTTGTTGGTTAGATTAAAAAACAAACAAACAAACCAACAACAAAAAAACCCAAAGGCCAACAACAAAACCCTTAGAGCTATTCTAACCTAATGTAGAACTAATTTAGGTAAGTGTTACAAGTACTTTCCTTTGGTGGTAATGGCAGCTGACTTCAGCAGTTGTCCCCTCACTGCATGTTTGCACCCTACACTGCCTGCTTCCTTGAGCTTCTTATTAAAGATGTTTTTGAAGGTGAACGGTGAAGTTGATTAGGGAAAACTCTTGTCTTCCCTCTGGGTTATTTTGTCTTTTAACCTGTGTGTGTTCCCATATCCTGTAAAACATGCATTGTGTTGAATAATACTTGTGCCAACGTTGACGCAAGATGAAATAAAGTGTTTAAGGGTAGGGGTGACTGCATAAGCTCTCATAAGCAATGCTACCATTAAATACCTAATCTTAGCCTCAGAAAGGGCTCTTCTGATGTTTATTTTATACACACTGCATACAACAATTTGCATTGCTCTAAGAATGCACAGTCTGATATATTTAAGCCACAGAAAAAAAGGGAAAATAACTACAGGAAAACTTAACTAAGCTTACAACCCTATTTTCAAATGCAAGGAAAATTTATAGATAGATTTCTATTCCCCGCCTCACTCCAGTTTATTAACAGAATTCATATGGGATGCTCTGGAGGGGGGGAAAATCCCAACATAATAGAATATCTAGAAAGTTATTTCATTCTAGCATAAATTAATAGTAATTTTAATCCCACATGCTAAATATTACTTAATTTTAAGATTTTGTAATTTCATCCTTTATTTTTTTTAAATAATGCCTAAAATTAGAAATCCTGTATTTTTAAACATAAGTTCACATGTCATTCTATTGTCAAGTTGCTTATATTCCCACAGCTAAGGTGGTTAAAAATGTGGTGAATGTGTCGTTTAACCTGAACAGTGTTTTGGCATGGCTTGTCTTTTTATTTTAGTCTTCTGTTGCACTTCGCTATGGGTCTGACTGTGAGTTTTTCAGTGCTGCTTTGACGTTTATGCACATGTATTTGTAAGAAGATTGTTTGTTATTTTGCAGGCCCACCTTCAACCCTCCCTCTAAGCACTCAAACCTCTAGTGGCAGCTCCCCTCTTTTCAAGAAGAGACCACCACCTCCCCCACCCCCAGGACACAAAAGAACCCTCTCTGACCCACCAAGCCCACTACCTCATGGACCCCAGAATAAGGGCCCAATTCCTTGGGGTGAGTTTTGAAATGCAAAACAAAAGGGCAGGGGAAAACCTTTTATGATGGATGATTTATGATCTTTGGTTTCTTTTTACCTGGTGCTTGCTTTCCAATTATTGCAGCTTGATGTAATGTCAGCTCAGATAAATCCACAGTTCTATCCTCTGTCACTCTGGCTTCCAGGCTTCTGTATCTGAGTCTCACTTGAGAAAATGGAAAATATTCCATGCTCCCCTGGGGCCTAATTCCATCTCCTCTGCTGCCTCCCTCTCTCTACCCTAGCTGCCCAGGCTGCCCTCACCCCAGCCCCCTCATCTGCTGCATCTGCTCTGCATCTGCTTCCTCCCCCCTGCTACTGTCCTGACCAGCTCACTAATCTAGCTGGATCTTGATTTGGGGCAGATAGACCTCGATGAACATGTATGGTTCTCCTGATTGCTGGAAGAGCTTGTTTCCTTGGGCTCTATGCCAAATCTCACCTGTAAAGTGCTCACACCTAGCTGGTGGGGATGTGTTGTCTTAATACATCTGTGGGTTTTGTGATGTTGTCTGTACATATGCAAATACTGACAGGTTTGCATCCCTCTACCTGCAGAAGTTACACAGAAACAGCTTTTTTTTTTTAACAGCGTACTTTTCTGACAGAAGCTCTTTAGAAACTGTTTTCCAGACTACTCAAATTCTTCCTCTTTTCAATAAACATTGCTCTATGCAGTCAACTTCTGGTAGCTATAAATCTCAGGCCCATGTAATTTTCTACAATTTTAGTCTCAGTGGCAGGATTTCCCTAAATCTGTAAACTTTTGAGCTGGGATCCAATGCATACATAGGGGAGTCATCCATACACTGCTTATATCTTAGGAGTGTCTTCTCTCTGTTCTATTAAAAACACAAAATTACTAGCCTAAAAAAAAAATTGCAAGCCTAAAAGCACCTTTTTTTTTTCAGCAAATTGAGTTAAATGTAGTAAATCATGGAGTACTTGTGTAGAATATGTGTTTTAATCTAGGATTTAATATGAAGTACAGAGTCCAATGATAACCAGTCTTTTTCTCAAGGAATACAAATAATGACAATCTTCTCAGTTCTCTACTTCTCAGCTGTCTGGGATATGGAAAAAATGTTTCCTGTGTTCTGGAGTCTAACAGCCCTGTAGTATTTCAGAGGTAGCAAAGACATTTTGAAGAGCTTGGACTTTAAAAATGTAAAAAAAGCCTAAATATTTAAATCCAAAACAGCACCTAAAATACCATGTACTAGAATACTACGTAATGTAACACTATTAGCATGAAAAGCGTGTTAGGAACAGATGCTAAGCTAGTGCCAACATTTCTTTGAAAATATTAGACAACAGATAGAGGAAAAGGAAGATATGGGAAAGATGCAGGTGTGGAGTTGAAGATGAAGAACCTTATAGCAACAGAATACCTTTTCGAAGCAGGGTCAGAGAAGAACTTTAGTTATTCTGTCTCTTTTCCGCTCTACAGTGCAGACTAAACTTCAGTGAAGAGGGGCCTCTTCTCCCCTTTTTTCTGAGCTGAGATCTGTACAAAAACTTGTTTCAAAGTCTATTTGGATTTTAAGCAAGTATTAAGTTTTGTGTTTATAAAAGAGGGAGTTTCTTGTATCTGCCTTTGTGGTTTTGGTTTAAAAATATTGTCAGATGTTCACAGCTTTCCCTTTCAGAAACTTTTTTCTGTGTTGTTATATTTCTTGTTATGTTGAATTTCAGCATTTGTTTTCTAATATGTGCATTAATTGATGTTTCAAGCAGAGCAATCGTTAGCTTACATCTAAGCAAATTAAGTTACTATTCAAAGATGTTCTAAAAATGTCATTTAGATTATTTTGGATTTCCATAGCAACCATGAGATATTTTTTCTTGCTTTATCCATAAGATCTACATGTGAAGGGTTTGCTGTTTGTCATACCTTTCTTTTTTTTCTTTATTTTTTTTTCTTCACTTTTAAATATAAACATATTTTTAGCAAGGCTCAGCATGAGCCTTTACTGCTGTTTCATTTGGACTTCAATGCACTAAGAACAGTATCTATGCAGATATGTCATTATTTTGCATGGGAAGTATTTTGTGTTCTTGAATCATTAAATGTCACTTTACATCTATTTCAGTGACAGAATTTACTAATGGTTGTTGAAGTTGGTTCTAAGATTGTTTAGACATGCTGTAATAGAAGAAGGAAGGGGGAATGATAAAGGCACTAAAATAAAATAGTATAATTGTACCTTGGGAATGGTGATAGTTAATGAAAGAGAAGCCTTCTGCTGAAGGAGGTCAGAAGCACTTGGTTTTGGATTTTGCTGCCTTTTAACAGAATTGAGTGTACCCAGGATCTTTTCCTTACCAATGGTTAACGTTCAGGTTATGGTAATGTACTGATTTAGTTATTAGATCCGCAAAGGCTATTCTTTGCGTAGGATAAAATACCAATCCTTAGAAATTTTATGTTTTGTGAATAAAATGAAATTCATGGTGGTTTAAAAAAGACGTGCCTCATAACACAAAATGCAAACAGCTGCGATAAATTTATTTGATACTGGCCTGCGTTATCTCCTTCTATTCAGAGAAAATTGAAACACTGTACTCAAAACAAATGCACTACAGCAGTAACTCAGCAATGTCATTTAATCTTTCTTTGCCAGCAGATGTGAGCTACCAGTGAGTTGGTTTAAAATGTGTTGTATGAAAGGTCAAGTTGGATTATTTTTCCTGCTGCTTTTTCAGTTATAATATTAATAATAATGATCTTTAAGATCATTAGACATGTTGTATAGAAGATAGTTGGAAGAGTGTCTACTTCGCTTTAAGTTGCACCCCTTGCAGATTATATTTCAGTTATCCTAATGATAATTTTTTCTCAATTGTGCTTTTTTCACCTCAGGTAATGATTTGGGCCCACCTTCGACTAAGGCTGCAAACAAGTTTGAGGGGATGTCTCAGCAGTCAAGGTAAAATCTGTGATGTAAAGGCAAAGATAAAAAAATTATCTAAACATAAGTAATTTGTAAATTAGAAAAAAAATTGCCTTTCATATGAAGTAAAATCCTAGCTATGTTTCTTCATTAGTTTTCTGCATGCCTTACTACCATACAAATACTTTGGCTTCATTGAGCCTCCTACGCTTTGTTCATAGCTGTCTGTACACAATTCTTCCTTTGAGCGGGATGGACAGAACGACTTGTACCAGAATCTATCTACTGCTCCTACAGAAGTGCTCTCTGAGCTGGGGAATGTTGCCTCAGACTGCAGTCCAGCAGGACAAAAGTTTTATTTTCACATCTCCTGGCATTTCACTTTATCTGCTTCAGTGTGAGATCTCATGCCTGTAGCTGCAGAAGTGTCACTCGGTACAGGCTGACATTGAAGATAGCTCTATAAGAGACAGAATTCATCTCAGTCTTCCAGCGTAGCTGTTTTCCAGTCTGTCGAGCTTATGTGCTGACATGAAGTCTGTAATAACACAAACTGCTTTTAGCTCATAGTTCATCAGGTCAGTACATTACAGGTGTCTTTTTCAATAGCTGAAGTAGTAAGGATAGCCATATATTCCTGTCACTTAGTGTTTGTTACTCCTTTATCTGTGTTGTGATTCCAAGGTCCTGAGGTTCAAAGCATGGTAATTCTAATAAGCCTGTGCTTCGGGCAACATGACGGAGACCTTGCATGACCACAAGTGTGCGTGATCAGGCTGTGACTGGAGGTGGATGTGTAACGTCAAATAAATCACAGTAGAAGATGTGTAGATGGAGTTTCTGGACACTCCTCAGTCTGTGATCTGCTGTGTCAGGACAGGCAGTGGACGTGTTGTTGGTAGCAGAGCTGACTTGCCGTGTTTGCTGAATCCATCCAGGTGGCACTGGGTATTCAGGGAAAAAGTGGTGATGTTCTGCAGCACAAAGAGTTGGTGCCATATGTGATAGTTGTAAGACAAGTGTAAAAGTGCTTGATGGCATTAGATAAAGGCCAAGGTAATTATTTATTGAAACAAGATTGAGCTTGGCTGTTCTTTCAGTTTTGTGTCATGATGTATTTTGACTATTTTTAAAAAAGCTGGGAAATTAAAACTGTTTCATCACACCCATTTTGAAACATTAGCTTCAGAGACAAATAATACCAGAATCAAGGCTGTTGATGCAGAAGACTCTCTGCTCTGTTGAACATATTCTGGCAACTTTGGCAACTTCCTCGCTCGTTTTCCTTTTTCCTTGTTTTTTGAGTAATTCTTTTGAGGTGATACTGATTTTTATTTAATTATTTATTGCTTAATTTTTATGCCTTAAATCAATTAGCTTTCTTCTTTTCTTCCACAGTCCTTTTCTATAAAAGTTGACTCGGGTATGGTTTTGGTGAAAGAAATCTGGTATTTTGTGTTGAAACTTATAATATGTTTTGCCCTCACGTGCCATGTTTGCAAATTCAAGCCAGCCTGGTGTTAATTCTGGAAAAAAGTTGTCTACAACAGAAAACATAGATGGAAAGTTTTGGCAATATGCAACTATCTCAGATTTTTATGCTGTAATTAAATTACTTGCAACTGTCTTGCTTGTATTGTTGCTTACCACTACGAGTAGCTAACACAGCTGTAACACAGGTTGACAGAGTAAAGCATGTTGTTATCTCACAATCATTATTTCCTTGGAGTAGCAGAGGCTTTGTCTCCCAATGCAGCTGCAGTTTGTGTATAATACAATATCATACTCATGCAGTAGGCTACAAGGCATAGGCTCAGTCCTGGAAAACTTCAAACTGTTGACAAAAAGGACAGATTATGTTTTGAATGCTTCAATATAATTATTTTAAAGATCAGATTTTCCTTAAAGTTCAGGATCTGCCCACTGAGCTGGTCTTTCAGCTTCACCTATTTTCAGAGTACATTTTTGCACATACCATAGTTCATACAATAAATCTGCCCTGTAGCATTAAAGCTGCATGGGGTTTGTATGCCTTTTTCTCGGAAAAAAAGCAGTTTATTCTTAACAGTGCTTTGAGTTTTGGGATTGATCCACAGACAAGTTGGTTATACAAAAGAAGCAAAATAAATGTGTGTTTAATTTTTTTTAAAATTACAGATGTGTAGGGGGAAAATGGGAAAGAAAAAGTATATTTTATAACAGTTGTAAGCACTAATAATTCACATCTGTTGATTTAGCACTGGGACTGCAAAGACTGCACTTGGCCCTAGAGTTCTTCCCAAACTACCTCAAAAAGGTAAGAATCCACTTTGCGGGTGTTCTCATAACGGTATCTTTTAAATGTGTGTTTCTCCTAACAGTATCTTTTAAATGTGTGTGAGAGTAGAGACTTGTTTTAACTATGTGGATCTTTTCAGCAAAAGTTTTATTTCTAAAATGTCACAAACCATAAAAGCTTAGCAAAACTGAAAGGATTTTGGAAGATTGGGAAGGTTTTTATTAAACTAAAAAAATAGTTAAACCTATGGAACATAAGGAGGAAAGAAAAAAAAAAAAATCTATTTGAAGCTGGAGGATGTATCAGGAGGCCAGCTGGCCCAATACACCACTCAGAGTAGGGCCAACTTTCTGACGTGAGAGCAGGTTGCTCAAGGCTATGTCCAATTGCATTTTGAGTATCTCCATGGATAACCTCTCTGGGTTTCCGTTTCTATTTTTGACCACTCTTGTTGGTAAATTCTTTTTTCTTCCTAATATCCATAAGGCCAATTTATTGATACCCTTGAAGCAAGTTGTGTCCCTTGCTGTGTTTTGGTGATCAGGGTTGTTGTCCTTACAACTACTCTGAAAAAAATCAGGTACTGTTACATGCTTCCTTCTATATTGGTGACAAACTTGCCGAGACCATCATCCCAGTGAACACCTTATGGCCCTTTCTTTTTTAGAAATGTTTTTTCTAGTCTCTCTTTAAACTCATACAGCAGGTTTTATTTAGGTTTTTGAGTTCTTGCAGCGGTTGACTATAAAGTTGAAAGTAGACCTTCCTCGTAGCTCGCTCTGATACAGAATCCATCAAAAATACATTACATATCCTATGAGTGGATGATCACTATAGACCCTGAAGATCAGGAAATTATGCCTGTCCAAAGTTGTGAAGCTAGATCACTGAGAGTGCAAATCATTTTGACAGAAAATGCAAACGCAAAATTTCAACTTTATTAAAATACAATTATTATGACATGGTAGCATCTTTTGAAACAGACACCAATGATGCAATAGGGTACCACTGCAAAGGAAGTCAACACTTCCTTGATTTAAAATTATATGGGTGAAAACTTAAGATAGGCTCAATCAAAGCACTTTAAGGGCTGCTATCAGTTTTTTCATATCATTTGCGTACACCTCAAACTGATGTGGATGATCAGTGCTTGTACATTTGCTACTAGGTAAGTCTAGGAGGCAAAACCATATACAAGTATCAACACAGACATTTTTAAAATGAGGCATCTGATAGTATCATAGAATCATAGAATGGTTTGGTTGCAAGGGACCTTAAAGATCACCCAGTTCCAACCCCGTTGCCATGGGCAGGGACACCTTCCAGTAGAAGGAAGCTACTATATATTATCTATATAATTTCTTTCATGGAAATTATGAAGTTTTCCTTTTTTGCAGTAGATGATATCCAAAGCGAGTGTTGTTGCTTTTGTAGTAAAATATCAGGCCACCTTTTTGGCTGGTGTTATATGATACTAGAGCAATGCTGGATACAATAGGAAATTATTCCTTCTAGTCAAAATGTGTTGCTTTCATCATGGGCCGTAACTTTTTTCTCTCCTATCCCCCTTCATTTGCTTTAATATTGAGTTGTTCGGTTTGGGGGTTTTTTGTTGTGTTGGTTTGGTTTTATTTTTAAGGTAGATTTCAGTCAAGTTTTCTTAGGGAACTTAGCAGTAGAATCAATGCATGACACCTGAGAAAAAAATTATTTTGTAAAGCTACTTTCAATTTCTTTCCATAAAAACTGCAAAATATGCCATTTTAAATCTTCTCATCTTTACTAAATTGTAAATATTTACAATAATTTATTTTTTATTAGTTTTCATTTCAATGTCTGTAATACTGTTTATGCTATAGACTGTATAGATATACATGCTCACTCGCTCTCTTCTTTAAGATTTTACAGGTACTAATCCTGAGACTCAGCGGGATTTTTGTATGGAGTTCAACTGTATATGTGAATAATTGGCATTAAAGAGAATTTTCATTGCAGTCACATCAGTGGGTCGATAGGTTGTTTTGCAAAATACATCTTTTCTTATATTTAATATTTTTTGGTTTAGGTCCAAAAAGCAGTCACTTATTTCACCTTATGTACTTAATCTATAAATTGACACCCAGTAACTGTTAGATTAGGCACTCCTGGCCTCCAGTAGGAGCAATGAAATGAGACCTCAGTGAAAGAGGGTTAAGTAAAGATGCATTACCTTGCATTTGTCATAGACGAGGAGGACATCTGGACAGTTACCGGGGCTCAGTGAACATGTAGGCATTGCACAATTCAGTTCTGATATGTGCCCAAGTTCTTTAATATTAAGATGAGATTGTGAAAAACCATTGTTCTGCTCTTTTGTTTTAGTGGCACTAAGAAAAATAGAAACCAGTCATCATCTTTCAATAGATAAATCCCATCAGCACACGGAAATCTTTCAGAAGCCCTCACTGTCCATCGATATACCACAGAAACCACAACCTGGAGACTTGCCCCCAAAGCCTCTGCCTCTGGAATTAACTCAGAAACCTCAAGTGGGAGATCTACCCCCAAAGCCTGGAGAACTACCCCCAAAGCCTCAGCTAGGAGACTTGCCACCAAAACCACAACTTGGAGACTTACCTCCAAAGCCGCAAATGAAGGACCTTCCTCCAAAACCTCAGCTAGGAGAGCTGTTGGCTAAAACTCACGGTGGAGAAGCATCACCGAAGCCTCAGCCCTCGGAGGCAAATCAAAAATCTCACTCCATAGATCTTTCTCCAAACATACAATCTAGAGATGCCGTCCAAAGGCAAGCATCTGAGGAGTCTAATGACATAACACATACCTTGCCAGAAACCCCTGTGCCACTTCCCAGGAAAATAAATATGGTAGGTGTTATTCCAGCTAGTTGAGAGTATGCATGGAGGGCTTTGCAGTTACTGTCATACTATCTGTGCAAAAAACCTGCCACCCTTGAGCTATGCACACAAAGCAACATGACATTATGGGCTAGGATGGGGAATGAGGTGCTCTTTTTGTGCTCCCAAGTAGCTTCAGGAAATGCTGGGGGTTTACAAGGCCTCTTGCATGCTGAAACAAATATTAGTAACATAAAACGATAGCCTTGGGAGCATGACAGTGTATTTAGATTTATTAGGGAACTTGGGCATTTTTATCGGTGCCAGTCACAATTCTGAATTAATTGGTGGTTTTCTCTGCTGTCTTTGCTCACTGCTTTGTATGCCTTAGATGACTAGGATAATTATATATTTGATTTTTGTAAACTTTAAGAAAGGATGTTAGCATCTGTTGTCAGTAGATAAAATATTTAAAGTAAAGTCAACTGTGGCAAACTAGTAAATGTTCCTGTCATGAGTATTTAATGTTGATGTACTTAAGTGGTTAACAGAAGTTCAGATAAATTGCTGAAGTGGCAAAATTGACATTGCTGGGTGGTGTGTAGTAGCAGAGCTGGAACTATAACTCGATTCCAAGTCTCCTGGTTCAATCCCCAATTCTTCTTGCTAAACAGTGCAGTTTCCATCCAACAGAGGATTCTTCATGCATATGTATATTGAAATAATTTTATGAAACTCCAGAGCTCTCAAGATTTTCATCATTAAGAATACATCAAAGAGAGGTGGTTTTGCTTGTCAAATTGGCTATGCAAAGCACTTATGTGGAAGGAAATAAGACTTGTGTTCTTGTAGTGAAAGCAGAGGGTGAGTCTCTCCTTTGTTGTGCTTGTCTGAGGAAGAACACTCTATGAAGCCATCGCTCTGCTTGGCCTCTGTCGTGGACTTGTCTGTAAGCTCCTATTGGAACTGGAAACAACAGGGTTGTTGCTTGGGCTTCCTGAGTGTTCTGGAGATTAAATGAAATAATACAAGGATCTGATCAAAAGGTGTCGCAACTACCATTTGTTTACTTATGTACTCTTAAATATAAGCAGGCAAATGATGCTGGACATTCTTAGCTAGTTGTCACTATTAAAGAAGAAAAGAAAGCAAATAGTGGATTAGTTGTTTGTTTTGTTTTGTTTTTGAACTGTCACCCTACTTTATACACAAAAATTCTGAGGAAAAATTCAGTGTTCTCCAAATTCAACCAGTTTCACATGTGCAGTAATAGTTCTGTTGCTTTGCAGTGATCAAAATTATGATGTGGCTGTGACAACTACTTTCCAGTTTTCCACACATCATTGCATGCACACTTGTATCTCTTCTTGTTCACTGCAGTCTTTTTTGCTCGAGTAATAATGTGCAAAAATTCCTGTTAAATGTATCTTGCCTACATTTTCATCCTCTGGCTATATCCTCTCTGCACAAACTGGTGAAATGCTACATCACAGTGCAACAGTAAGACCCATGACAGCAGCCACTAGCACTTGTGGGTATTTCACCACATCACAAGAAGTGTGACCAGCAGGTCGAGGGAGGGGATTCTGCCCCTCTGCTCCACTCTGAGCCCCCCTGCCCCCTGCAGTTCTGCCTTCAGCTCTGGGGCCCCTGACACAAGAAGGACATGGATCTATTCGAGCGAGTCCAGAGGAGGCCGCAAAAGTGATCCAAGGGCTGGAGCACCTCTCCTATGAAGACAGGCTGAGAGAGTTGGAGTTGTTCAGCCTGGAGAAGAGAAGGCCCCGGGCAGACCTTAGAGCAGCCTTCCAGTACCTAAAGGGGCCTACGAGAAAGCTGGGGAGGGACTTTTTACAAGGGCCTGTAGTGACAGGACAAGGGGCAATGGCTTTAAACTGGAAGAGGGAAGATTTAGATTAGATACAAGGAAGACATTCTTCACTGTGAGGGTGGTGAGGCACTGACACAGACTGCCCGGAGAAGCTGTGGCTGCCCCATCCCTGAAAGTGTTCAAGGCCAGGCTGGATGGGGCTCTGAGCAACCTGGTGTAGTGGAAGGTGTCTCTGCCCATGTCAGGGGAGTTGGAACTGGGTGATCTTTAAGGTCCCTTCCAACCAAACCATTCTGTGACTCACTCTTGGGTTTGACTGTTTAGCCACTGAATAGATGAGCACAATTTTTTTTATTGGAAGTTTTAGAAAATCAATTGTTCAGAATTATTAGGTAGGAAATACCAATGGTGTTCATATATAAGGACTTTAAAGGATATTTTTAGGGAAATGAAACTTGCTTTGGGTGCTTCTAAAATCACACTGGGCACTTGAGCATTCTTTTGTGCATGTGTTCTATAAAGAAGACAAAATACTTCTTTTTAGACAAAAGAAGTGTTGAATGTAAATAAGAGCATGGAGGGATTATTGACCACAGCAGCTGATTATTATTCATTCTTAAGCATAAAAGTCTCTTTTTAATAAGTACCGATATTGGATATAAGGAGTTGGGGTGGGGATGGGGGTATTTGTTTTATAGTCGAAAATTACATGTCCTGGAATTGCTTTTATTTCTTTACATACCAGAGCCCCAAACTGTGTTCTGGAAAATACATACTCTCTTCAGATGCATCTTTTTTTAAACCTTCCCAAGATAATGCACCTTAGGTTTGAATTCTGCTTTCTTCTTTTACCACTCTCCTAAGTGAAAGGAATAGAATATTAAAATGTCTTGTGTGGTATTAATCTGAAGGAAGCAGGAGCAATCGCTGTCATTTTTCACATGTTTTTACAACCTGAGTTGCATATAGTTCTCTAAGTTTAGAGGAATTTAACTTTCTTTAGTCTCTTTATTGAATGAGACATTTTTTTATCTGGCAGAAGTAGTTGCTTCCCTTCATCACCGGGAGATTTATGGGAAGTGTTCTTAGTTTGTAAAGGTTCTCTGAAGTTGAAAGCTGGGACTGACCCCAAATACCCATTAATACTGAATTCCAATCCCTAGTGATAGTTGAGATTTTTTGTTCAAATTATATGAATTTGTTAACTTCTTGTTGCAGCGAACCTTTGCTGTAAAAAAACCCCTTTGATCTTGTATGAACTTCACTTCATGTATTTCTGTTCATTTATCTTGAGTATGGGATTTTTTTAGTCTTATGTTATTGTGTTAACTCCTTTGTCCCTTAGATCGCTCTATAATTGTTATTTTTTCTGTACCTTGAGTGTAGTATGAGTGCACTCTGCTGTGTGTCTGTTCTGCTGTTGATCTGGAGGGAATTTTTTTTTTCCATAACATGGAGGTATTTCAAATGGGTAGGTAATAGCAAAGAGAAGGCTCCCTAGGAAATTTCCTCTATGAAGTTACTTTTGGCTCAAATTCCTCTAAACCTGCTGACTTTTTCCTTCGTAGCCATTCTGCTTCTCTTCTTTCTTATTTGCATTCTTGTTATCTGACTACTTCTGTTCAAAGAAGTAAGTGTAGTTTTTGAAGAAGTGTAGGTATGAAAATACAGGAATATGAAGTAGCAGGAGCATTTTCCTGTGAATATTGCTTCCTTACTCTATTTGGAAATAATTGAAAGCGTTTTCCCTGCCATGAGAAACATATGTTTGGGGAGGAGTCCATGGCTCAGGCTTTCTCATATGAATTAGCGGTATGCAGCAAAGCATGACCTACAAAATACTTGGACTCAGAATGGTAAAGCTGTGAGAATATCTATTACGAATTATCATCACAAAATAGTACTGCCATCTGAAATTCAGATACTTTTAGCCAGAAATTGCTAACATTCTGGATGAAAAATCACTCAAAAAATAATTTCCAGTCCTATAAGCAGATCTGAAATCAAAGGATACTGTATTTTTACACTAGATCCAAAACCAAAACTGTAAGGAATACTGGGATTTCAATGCAGCATTTTCCTCAGACCTTACCTCTCTTGCAACATTCAGAGGAGACTGGATTTATTTTCTGTTCATGGTGGTTTTTTTAATGAAGTATGTATTAAAGGAGAAAGAGGGTGTTTATTGGCTGGAACAATTTAAAGACATTATTTAAACTTTCTTTACCGGACGAAGCATAGGTTACTTAAGCCATGCAGTACACGTTAAAGTATCTTGGGAGTTCTAAATCTTAAGAAAAAGAAAACCTACACCTGTGTAGGTAACTTTTTATTTTATTTTTTTTGATATCCTTGTTGAAGCAGAGTGTTGTTTTTTTATTTCATATCCCCGATTGCAGGGAAAGGAATTTAGTAGTCCGCACCTTCTTGTAAAATAAGACATAACTAAAAGGCAAAATTAATTTCATATATATGTTTTCACTGTTTCTCATGTCCCTCACCTAAAACTTCAATCTATTTTTAGGGGAAAAACAAAGTTAGGCGAGTGAAGACCATTTATGACTGTCAGGCAGATAATGATGATGAGCTCACATTTGTTGAAGGAGAAGTAATTATTGTAACTGGTGAAGAGGACCAAGAGTGGTGGGTATGTATCTCTTCCTTTTGTAGTTCCACGTAACTTCTTTATGACTTTTAAAGGAAAGCCTCTTTTTCCAAATTGTAGGAGGTTTGTTGTTCTTTTGGTTTGTGGTTTTTTTTTTTTTATTTTGTTGGGTTTGGGGAGTTTTTTGCCTGAGCTAACATCCAGCCCTTGAACTCATATTAGAGAAGACCTCGTTTCTCTGGTAGGGTCTGTGTTTTCCTGGGAGTCTGCTAGAACCATCCTGACTAGGTTTGGCTTTATTGCTGGCTCATGACAACGTGTATTTACATACGTCACTCTTTGTAATGCACACTAGCCTTTCGTTGAATGAAGAAACGGTGATTTTTACTCCATTGGGCATGCTTACACCCTTCATGAAAAATGAGATACGTAATTATCTTCACCAGAAATATTAAGTTATACCTACAGAGGTTGCTGGAAGTCTGAAAAACTATTTGTAATTGGTGCTGTAAGCTGATGGTTTTCCTCCTGAAATGAGAGGTAGTTAACATTTTCTTTTCCTTCTTCCCTCTCATGCTATTGGTTTGTATCATAGTCCCCCCTGCTCTGGACTGCATATTGTCTACAGTTCCTGAGTGCTAACACCAGGTTCTTCTCAGCCCCACTTGAAGGCTCCAGCCCTCCCTTGATACTCTACTTCTTGCCTCCAAAGCCCTGCTACATCATATTTTCCTACCTAAGAACTATTACTGGGGAAAATGAAACAGATTTCATTTTGATTAAAACAAATTCTTATTGCAGTGCTGCCTATGATTACCTAATCTAAGTGCAGCGTAACCTTTGCTGTTTCGGTTCTAGCTACAGGGTTTCCTCTCACTCATCATTTAAGTGAGGAAGATTTTTCAGCTGAAAAGATGGCATCAAAAGCACAATGCCCAGTGAAAAGCTGCTGTATTAACCATATCATCTGGTCCCTGATTATGGTTGCATTAGGTGCTGAATCTGCTTTGTGAAGTGACTTTTTGAGATCCCTGGGTACATGCCTGACAAGTTCCGTGAAGTGCTCTAGTCTGAGTGTTTCTGAGAAGGGAAATGAGGGCTGTTGACTCATATGCTTCAAAAATTTGGCTCTACAAGAGGAAATGGCCAGCCCTGCATGTTTCCCCTTCCCGTTTTGTTCGCTTGTGGAAGGGGAAGGAGGTACGCTATTATTCTGAAAGTAGGGAGCAGCACTGTAGCAGGCTGAGAAGAGAGTTACATGGTCAGTCAAGGCTGCTACTCCAGTGCTATCAGTTTGATAGTCGTTTATAATTGTGCATTTTAAACATGTAAAGTTTATATAGAAGGTGCCATATTTTTTAAAGTTGCTTGGCTATTTATAAATGATTATTATGCAAAACATGTAAGAAGTTGTACATGAAGGATACTTAATCAGATGATACTATGATTTGTTACAAACACTAGTATGCACATAAATCCTTAGGAATCATACTAATTCAATGAGAAAACAGCTGGGCCTTTATCACTTTAAGTGAAGCATGCAGATTATCATAAGGAACTTCACAGCTCTAGCAGACATTTCCCTCAACTGAAATGTTTAGGATTTATTCAGTTAACTAAGATGAATGGGTTCAAAAGACACAGACTAACTTGCAATAGCAAGATATATCAGACAAAAGAAAATAAGGCTTCTGTTTTGGTGAGATTCTTGAAATTCAGTAGTCTGTGTAGCCCTTCTAGGTTTCCCTATTCAATTGTAGTTGTTTTGTTCTCTTTAGATTTAGTTGGCTTAATTTGTCTTATTTATAATATGTTTGTATGGTTTTATTTTGTTCTGTTACAGAAATTCAAATGTTAACTAAGGTCTGCTTTAAACTGTCCAAGAACTTGCAAATGCTCTGTGGGATCCATGCAGTTCTGCTGTTTTGAATGAAGTAAATGCAGTCTACAAACTCTATGTGTGCACACACATATATATCTCTCTACCTATATGTATCTTTTTCTCCTGTGTTGCAGATTGGCCACATCGAAGGACAGCCAGAGAGGAAAGGGGTCTTTCCAGTGTCCTTTGTGCACATTCTGTCAGACTAGTAAAAAGAAACAAACAAAAAATCCTAAACTTGAGCATTGCACATTCTTCATGCAAGACGGGCTTTTTAGCAAAAGCAAACGCTGCTGCCTCCCTGTAATCCTGTGCACAATTGTATATATAGCTGCTGTTACAAATTAAGAATTCATTTAAGTTTCACCTCATGAGGTTGAATTATATGTATTGTAAATATACTGTGTTATTCTGCCTTTGCCAGTATTATGGTAGCCTTGGAACCTGGCACGCCTTATTGGGTTCGTTGAAGCCATCCTCGGCATCTAGCACTTACATCTCTGTCTATGCTGTTAAAAATACGTATGAACTGCCAGCTTTCCAAACATAGGTGGTCTCCGTCAACCATGTAACTGTACAGAAATGACTGTTCCTAATAGCTCGGTATTCTCAATATACAATTAGCAGAAAGTTAGAATGAGTGAATGGTTTTGGACAATTTACAAATCAGTTTGCAGTTTCTAAGTGTATGCAGTTTACAGCTATGAAACCCACTTCGGTATTTATTTAATATAGTGCTCAGTTAAGTGTAATTATGAAGACAAATATTCACTGACTTTACAGATAACAGTAATGTTTTATGGTGTGCATACAGCATTTCATGTTTATATTATGTGGACCTATGCCAAACTGTGATTGCAGTTCCCCTGTGATATTACCTCACTATAAAAAGTTACAAATTTATTTCATTCGAAAACTTATTTTAATGAAAATTAGTCATATTGTTCTTTAGTAGATATATGTGAAATTTGCTGGTTTCTTTCACTGAATTCTTAGTAACCAAGGACTTCTAGAAAATGTTAACTATTGACATTATGCATGCATTTAGACGCTTACTTGAAACCTGCCTTTGTACAAAAGTAGTACTGTAGTCATATAGCTACATTTGAGGAAAAGAACATTTTAACTTAATTGCTATTCAGATTAATGTGAGCTTGCAACAGTATTTGTTTATAGCTAAATTGGCTCTTTGAAAAATGATTTTGTGGGGGGTTTTTTCTCTGTCTTCAACCTTGCTAAAAGTTAGTTACCTAAAATAAGATTTCTTAAGTGGTGATATAAGGATAAATTTAAATTATTTTTAATTGCTCTAGAAAGTGGAAGTTAAGATGACCTCTCATGCATTTGATCAGGCTGTTAATGGTAGAACTCAGATCACAAGTATCAGGCTGGTTTTAGTAGAGTTCACTAAATTGTAACTGTAATCGTCTTAATTCAGAGCACCTAGTAACAGACACACTGTTATAAAGCTAATTTCGAAGAAAATCTTTGGAAGGCTGCAATTGACCTGAGGTTTCCTGAAAGCTGGTATAAAGTTGCATTGCCAGAAAACACTTAAATGTATTACTGCAAACTTTCATTTCCTATGTCACTTTGAACATCATTTTTTAACTTTTGAAACATAAAGCAGTTGTGTTTTTCCCATAGTTTGTCTGTAGCAAGTTCCATGACTTTCATATGTAGTTTTGTATTACTTGCTTTAAATGTTATTTTGGCTTCAGTACCTAGTACTGCTATTTCAAAACAGATTGTCTTGGCTGCATGGGAAGATTTTCATTTCCTAAAAGCACATCTCAGACTTTCTGAGGGCTTTCATTTTTTAAATCAGTTTTACAAGGCTGTAGTCAGTGAATATTTAATTCTGTTTGTGGTTAATATAGAAACAAATATCAGTTTAAATCCCACATGGAAAAATGCAAAACATTTATCAACTGTTAATGGTTTTATCATTTATAACAAAACTTTATTCAAAAAAAAAAAAGTTACACAATGAGTGAGAGAGCCTGCTGGCATTTAATCTTCAGTATTACCAGCTCCAGTATTTCAGACTTCATTCTGGTTTTTATGGAAAGGAAGTCAGTTTTAGCATTTATTTAGCATTCCATTTTATCCATTACTACAATGTTTTAAGTTGCATTAAAGAACAAAACCTATTCACTTTTGTGGTCAATTGTATTTTTAAGTGATCTTGAAATAAACTGATAAAAGCCAATCATATAAAGAAAACTTAGGCATGTAAAATTATGTAGAGTCAAATGTCTATTCTTTTCTACGCTCTTTAAAATAGTATACATATGCATTTTATAAAATTAAATGAGTTCCATCGGGAACAGTAGTTCTGTTTATTCTGGCTTATTGTGGGTCATAAGAAATCTGAAAATGTATGATATTGATTGAGTTTAAGTACAGTATTATATTTGAACTCAATGAGCCACTGTCTGCAATTTTGTATATGACATAGTATTTGGAAAGTCTAAATCTTTATGGAAAATGAGCTGATAAAGGGTTGGGGGGAGGGGCAGGGGAAGGTGCCCCCAGAGGGGGAAGTATGCTCTGCAGATGATGTCTTATTTACTGTTGAACAACAGTTGCTATTTATTTTTTTATTACATAGTACATCAACGTGTACAGAAATCAGATCTGGTCATGCCACTAGTTAAATTCTTGACTTCTCATTGAATGTTAAGGTAAAACATCAGTACACATGTCTATTCACATGTATTTAATGTGACAGTTTTTGAGTACTGTATGTGTTCATTTCTACTTTTTTAATATTTAAAATTGCTTTTAAATAAATGTATTCAGTTGATCCCAGATATCTGAACAAGGCCCTTTTGTCAACTGGAATATCTTCTAGGGAGAAAGTCTGGATTCCGAACAGGTAGAACTAAAACATTTGAAATGTTTTCTCTTGAATATAAAGCACCCCTTCTACAATGCAATTAATTGTGTATCTCTTTAACAGCTGTTAAATATGGATGCCATTGCCTTTATCTGGAAAACTTTACTTACTAAAGTTAGCATCAAAACATTTCTTTTGTCCATGAGTTTCGATTGCTTTCTCTCTGGCTTCAGCGGGCTCTACGGAAAGCCAGCCCGGTGTGTCTTGTTTCCTACAGCTGGCCCTCAAGTTGAAAAGAACCGCTCAGCGTGGCCCTCTGTCCCGTATACGGCCTTCTGCTGTCCGCAGGCAGGATTACCAAATCTGACAGCAGCTCTCAAACAGACTTGAGCAGTACTAACCTTTCCTGCATGGTGTGACTTTTATTGCTTACAATTTCAGTTCCAATGCAGCTTGCAGAGGCTATTTTCCCCCTCCCTGACTCAGTTCTTGGAAGTTACTCATTTAAGATCCGTTCCCATCAAAACTGCTCCAAAAAGAACAAGTCACTTGAAATTGCTAGAAAGCAATAAGAACATCCTTTAGCCAGAGGAAAAGCTTGAATGTGGAGTTATCAGATCTGGTTTGTATCAAAAATAGTAACTGCAACAGCACAGGGCTCAGGAGGCCGCTGTGATACCACAGCTTCTTGAATGCTGAATTGTAGTGCAGGCATAGCCTGGGCTCGTTATAGAATATTCTGCTTGGTTAGTTTGGGGCTTTTAAATTTACATAGGCTAAACATATGGGGCAAGGGGTGTGTGAAATACAGACATGGGGCCGGGGAAGCTGTCTGCTCAGTTTCTACCTTGTCACAGTATTTCAGATAACAGCATTCAGAGATCAGTTGATTCCAATATCCTCAGTTCTCTGTCCTACCTGTATTACTTGTTCTTCAGTGACGTGTATTGATTTCCTTTTGCAAGTCAAAATTGAGGTGGCTATCTCATGTACTGTTTGCAGCAGAAGAGACCAAGACAAACGTGTGCCCAGAGAACCCCCTTGTTGTTCAGAGTTTCAGTCAGCTTACCCTTTTCCTGGCAAACTTAAAGCTCGTAGCTGAACAGAAGACTGATTGGTAATCAAAACCAGTGAAAGTGGTGCAAATCTTAAATAACAAAGAGTGAAACTTAGAAATGGCTCCCTGCTGCCCAACAAACACCCAAATGCTCCAACCCTATAATTAGGATTTAATTGCTTTCAGATGCTTCCCTCCCAGACTCTGTAGTTCTGTGTGACAGTTCACCCGAGCATCACCAAAAAACAACCTCACTCTCCCCACACTCTGCCCTGTTAAATGGTTTCACACCATTCACACCGGGGACCGGTAACCCTCCTATGCCAAGAAACCAAAATGGGACAGGGGAGCAAATGTCCCTAGGTAAATAAAGTTCGGCTTCAGGCCTTAAATTCTTACAGACAACTTACCAACTTAGTCTTGAGTTTAAGACTGTTGGGGGTGCTTTTGTGCCTTAGCCCTTGTAAAACACAGCTGGAGGCTTTTCAGATGGATACAGAATGCACACAGGACTGTAAAATGTTTTCATCTATATAGCTGCAAGCAAAAAATTTTCTTATCTAATACAAACTATTTCAAGTTGCCTTAATGATACTTTTAAGGCTATACAGAACATGATTTACAGCTCAGTCATCTGCTGAGAGAGTGCTCAAGTTTCTTCTTGAGGTAAGCTAAGTGCTGTTCGTCAACTTGTACTTAAGCTTACACACCTGCCCCGTGCTGTGGCGTGCACAAAAGCTGCGAGTCTTGACTAGTTCTCGTCAGCTGCTGTTCAAGTAAGACTAAAAACGATAGTGTGTCAGGGTACAGGCTTTGCCTTGTTCCTCTAAATTACAGAACAGATCCTCCTGTCTGCAGTGAGGCGGATGTCTGCTCTAGTCTCTTTTTATAATAGCGGGGGCGAGGGACAAACAATTTGTGACAGCTGTCACATCTGCTAACCATGTCAGAGCAGAGGAGAAGCTGACTGGTGGTTTGCTGTACCACCTGAAGAATGTTTTGAACAAGCTTTAAGCTTACCTGGAACTTTAAATCCAGTGTTAATGCTACTCTGCAGTTCCTACCAGTTTAGTCTTGGTTCTTGTAGTGCCCGATCAGAAATGTCCCCTCCCCGTGTGCTTGTTGCTTTTTGCTGAAAGGCGGTGTGGGACTAGGTTCATCCCCCCGTGGGATATTTTCCCCAAGGCTTGAAGATGTTTCTTGTGCTTCAGTTACCACCAGAAATTTAGAAATCTGATTTTTCTCTTACAGTCACATTGTGTAGATGAATCACCCTTGAACACTAAAATGAGACTGCTCCAGAATGGCTGTGTTAGAGGTTTTTTCGTTGTATTTACCTTTGTTCAGTTCAAAGCAATTGCATTAGGCTTGGTTTTTTGGCAACTAATTAATTTCCCCAGTCTCTTCCCAAGGGAATACTCCAGGAATAATTTACTACAGCTGCCTGTAAACTTACAAGACTAAGCAGTAGTGTGCAATAGCTTAAGTCTGAAGCTGCTCTCAAACCTAGTTTAGTAAAGTAATGTTTTTAATCTCTCCCTGTTCCCACATCTCTGCTAGGGTAGTAAGTGTCAACATGCCTCTGAGCTGGAGTTCTTAGTGTTTAAATAAAAATCAAAAACTTACTTATCGGAAAGGATTCAAACATGCTCCTAAACTTCAGACTGCAGACAGACAAGCCACCTCTTGAGCTGAACTTGCACAGAAGAGGTCAGCAGCTGTTTGTTGGTTAAGCAGGCGTTTGTGGCGGTTTTCTGTTGGAGCCTACAGACTTCCTTAGTGACCTGGTGACACCAGTAGCCACATGCTGCTTCAAAGACAACTCAAAGATGAAAGCAGACATTTTTTCAAATTAGTAAAAAATATACTGCCTGTAGTCACCTGTCTATACTGCAAGCCATCCTGTCCGTGGCTCTAGACCTACGTATCCATGTGTCCTAGCCGTCCCTTTAATAACTGTAGATTTTGAATTCAGAGCTGTAGCTCTACTTCGGTAACTCTCGGCAGGAAAACAAGAGCTCCAGGTAGCTGAGCAGTAAGTGAGCTGCAGCCAGCTACATGCTCTCATTTCAGATGAGACTTTTTATTGTGTGGGAACCTATCCAGGAGCTGGAAAAAAGCCTCGTGGAGCAACTCCCGGACCATTGCAGTAGTTCTGACCTTTGGATAGAAGCGTGGGGATGAAGGGCAGATTTGTGATCTTCCTCAGCCCCTATCCTCCCTACAGGAACTGGGCCAACCTCTGCAGAAGGAAATGAGAACAAATGCTAAACCTGCCTCGACAAGGTGCACAGAGCTGCTGGCCTGCTTACAAGGGAAGTTTCGCAGCTTGGACAGCCGGAGAGCAAGGAGCATTGAGCTTCATGTGAAGTGAACGTACACTGAGTGATGCTGGAAGATGGGGACTTTGGAGTCTTCTGCGAAGTATAGGAACAAACCTGAACTCTACATCTGCTACAAGGCGGAGGTGTGAGAAGAGCCAGGGAGGCAACACAAACCACAACTTGGGACACCTTTGAAAGAGTATGAATGACTCCATCATTGATGTGAAGATCAATCATAAGGAGTCAGCAGCTCTCCTATAGGTGGGCCGTGTCACCACAAAGCTCAGGGCAATGCAGAGATTCAAGTGATGTGAAGAATGAGGGTCCCTTGTCCAGCAGAAGCAGCAAGATCTTGGCAGACTCTAAGGGGGGAGGGAGGGCAGCGGGGCAGTCAGCCCATCTGGTCAGCACCACACAAGTAGCTGCTGTAGTCGCTGGAAGGAGCAGAAGGTACCAGATGTGCAGGCAGGGCCTGTGCCCGAGATCCAGTGAGCAGGAGCATTTGGCTGTAAGCAGGGAGGTGCTGCTGCCCTGCCAGAGCAGCCCCTGGCAGCAGTCCCATGCAGGGCCCAGGTCTGCCTCAGACGTGGTTCTGGCACCCCCACTACCTCCTTGGAGCAGGTCTGGAATGGTTGTCTTGCTTAGGGATGGATTTTGCTCAGGATCATCCTTTAACTCAGCACCTGTGTTCCTGCCAGGTCTGTCTGAGTGAGATGCTGCCAGGCCCAGCAGAAAAGCTCCTTCTGCTCCTCCTTCCCCACCAGGATGCAGAGAAAGTTGAGATGAAAAAGAAAATCTTAAATTTGGGGGTTGAGAAACACTTTCTACTTCAAAACCCTGGAGAGCAGGATGTTGGTCCTCATTGGCCCACAGCAGCCTTCTGCCTAAATGTTTTTCATGCCAAATGTGGCCCCTGGTGGTGTTTATTTAGACTGGGGTCTGCTCAGGGTCATCGCCTTTCTCTCTGTATAGTGCGCACCTGGTCTGCCCATGATCCATACCTTTAGCTGCTTGCCTGGTGGAAGATAAAAGGCACCGAGTGCAGTACCTCTGCACAGGGGTCCTGTTACCTACGTGACTTCTCAGCGCCCCGGCCTCGCTCCTGCCCACATCTCCACCTGCTTTGGGCCAAAGATGGGACTTGCAGCCATTGTGGCCATCACAGCGAGACTCGTGCCATGGCATGGGGCCTCTGGGGCTGCAAAGCAAGCTGAAGCATCACAGCCCCCCGCCAGTGACTGACAGTAAAGCTGGGCAGCAAAATGCCATTTAGAGAAATTACCTTAAGACGTGTTACCTCCATCTAATCTCTATCCCTTCCTGAAAGGGATTGATGGTGCAGGAAAACAACAGCATCTGTTGCTGGAGGGAGAGCTTCCTGCGGGGGGGATGGGGGCGGGGATGCCGTGTCCTGCAGGGACCCTCGCTCCTCCTGCATCCAAGATGCTGTCAATCGTCAACATGAGATGGAGGAGAAACTGAGCAAGGTGCTTCAGGGATGTCACAGCTGCTCCAGTGTCTGAGCGCAGCTTCAGAGATTGAAGGAGCTGTTGGGGTTTGAAGGAAAAATTCAGCTTTGATGAGTTTTTTTTC